TAAATTAAAATGTAAAAATAAGAAAATGTGGTATGATTGCCAATGAGACAACTCTCCACAAGAGACCAAATGACACAGAAATTAACAACTATATGTCACAGTACGGCCTTCAACGATGAGTAAAACCTATACCGCATAGTCAGCTATATAAAAGGCCCTGAAATGACAAATGTAAAACAATTCAAGCGAGAAGGTTAACTGCCTGATTAATGTACAAAATAATGAACGAAAAAACAAATATGATATATAGCAACAAACGATAACCACTGAATTACAGGCTCCTGACTTGGGACAGGCACATACAGAATGTGTCGGGGTTAAACTAGTTTAAAGGCGCGCCAACCCTCCTCATAACTTGGGACAGTGGTGTAACAATACAACATAAGAACAAACTATATAAATCAGTTGAAAAGGGCTTAACTCATCAGATTGATACAAAGCAGAAATACATCTAACAAAAACAGAGTGGACGTGGCAGGGTACTTATACATCCCCACAACAAAAAGACACTAAGTACAGATCTGAGAGTACTCGCAGTTACTGACAGCTAGTTCAACACCAATAACTACAAATAAAAAAAACATGCATCTAAGATTAAAATATCAATCAGTACACATCCAACATCCCATAGATTTAGGGTAAAGACGTCATTAACAGTCAGAGAAAAACATGACCTTGTGCAATACCAAGATACAGGTATCGACAGATTGTAGAGCCATGAATGTGCATATGTATATAAAAATAATATTTAGTTTGATTGTAATTTACTGGTAACAAAATCAATATTCAAAGATCTAAATTATAGTGTTGAATTGGTAACCTTTAAGAATAAGTTTACTTAAAGGATTAAATGGTTTATCAATGCTGGTATTGATGGTAGATGCGCTAAGGAATTTTCTGATGTGGTTTTCAAGTCCTCGTCCATTTGTGACGGCAGCTACAGTAATATGTAACATCATGATTTAGTTTTGGCCAAAAGGAATGACTTATAATTGTCTGGTCGTTTTTTACTCATAAATTAACAGGAATTGTTGCCTCGTGGTCTGGACTAAATTTTTCTTTTTCTGTAATCAGTTGGCACAACCTGCTGGTACATTATTCTCTATATAAAATAAGATGCGGTATGATTGGCAATAAGACAGCTATATATACAACAGACTCCAGGTGAATTTAACCTGATTTAAGCAACTATAGGTCATCGTGTGTCCTTCAACAATGAGCAAATCTATACCGTATAGTCAGCCATAAAAGGCCCCTTCATGACAAGATGTGTAACAATTCAAACGAAAAAAACCAACGACCTGATCCGTAATTCTTTACAACAGAGACATCAGAGGGTCTCCACTTTCTCGTCAGTATTCTTGACTTCCTATAAGCACAAACAGCTGATTACCAACTTCAACCTTCATTTATCTGAAGGTAAATCATTACCAAGCAAACAAAGTAATTATACCTTCTACTGTAAGAACAGGGTTATGCTTATTGTGACTTCTCCTGATATAATATAAATCATTACCAAGGCAAACTAAGTAATTATACCTTCGACTGTAAGAACAGGTCTTATGCTTATTGTAACGTCTCCTGATATAAAGTAAATCATTACCAAGCGAACAAAGTAATTATACCTTCTACTGTAAGAACAGGTCCTATGCTTATTGTAACGTCTCCTGATAAAAAGTAAATCATTACCAAGCGAACAAAGTAATTATACCTTCTTCTGTAAGAACAGGTCTTATGCTTATTGTAACGTCTCCTGATATAAAGTAAATCATTACCAAGCGAACAAAGTAATTATACCTTCTACTGTAAGAACAGGTCTTATGCTTACTGTAACTTCTCCTGTAACTTCTCCTGATACAATGTTCCATTTCAAATTAATATTATGAAGGGGAATATTATCCAAACTTACATCGACACCCTGAATCAATTTAACACTAATTCTCAGCAAATTGGGACCATATGCCAAAATTATACTTTGAAAATATATTTGTGTAAACAAACTTTTAATCATGCGTAAATGATTTATATATATATATAAGATTTGACAGATTCCAAAGCGGTTGATCTTAGCTCTTATTGTAAAAATAATATCGCTGGTCAAGACTATATGGGTCACTTTTTTCCACATAACAGATACGTTACCGTCATGTTTTATTACCTTAGCAAACGAACTTTCATACAAAGCGTCATTAATTAAATTATTTCCTTCAAAACTATTCTTGAGGTACCTAAGATTCTAAAAATAGTCATAAATCTTGATGAAATACCCTGAAAAGTTTATAATTTGTTCTTGAATCCATATCTTGACCAAATACAACTGTGAAGACAAAAAACATAACATAAAAATGCATTAAGATATTAATCCAAATATATTAAAATATCAATTATCATCAACTGCTCTTGTTAATTTTTTCAACTGTTTATATATCTCATCTTATTTCCAACTTGGAAGTGAACAGATCACGTATCTGTTGAGAAAACGACTTTGATATTGAAAACTCTGTTATATCGTCTCTGGAACTATTAACCATAAGTAAACTCTAAATATATAATATTTGAAAAAAAGAAGTGAGCGTAACGCATAAAACTTTAACGAAACCAATACAATATAAGATGTAACGTATCTGTTCAAGGCATTCAACAAATACGTTACCATATAGGAAACAAATACGTTACTCAATGTTTGCAACCTGAATTACAATACTTTAACATTATTTTTATCCTGTAGGTACCAAATTCAAATGTCTAATTCTTATCTACGTGTTAAAATATCTAATTTAATATATTAGCGCAAAATATATTAAAATATCCAGTTAAAAGCAGTACAATCGCCTAATTTGACGTTGTCCTTCATATATGTCTTCGAAAATTGCAGCTCATAACTTGTTGTATTGATGATATTATTCATTCAACATCAAATAAAAAAAAAATATTAAAGCAGATAGCTCATGTGTCTGAATTCCAAAATGGTACTTGTATTTCATCGTTAATCGAAACATAGTAACGGATTTTTTGGTACCGTATCTGTTTAACAAAATATTCTTAGTCTTTTATTTCAAATATTTTTCTAATAATATGTAAATTTTTTGTATGACAAACTACTTAAAATGACCGTCATAAATATGTACTGGCTGAATGGTGATGGATCGGAAAAGGCAACATTAGTACATGTTTTGCAAACTTTTTAAGTAGAACACTCAACAGATTTCCTGAGAATGAGTGAAAACAACTTCATCAATGGAAGACAATTAGACGCCTTTTAACATTCATGACCTCAGGCGCTATTGGAAGAGTAAGCAGACCCTACTCCACATGCGACACCCGTTATGTTGCTCGTGTAAGTACAAGCTAGCCCGATGATAAATCTAATTCGGTAGGTCACATTCCAGGAAAAGAGGACAGTGTTGTGGTTCCGACAATTGGAACATAATCGTCGTCATCTGTAAAACAGATATACGGTTTACCAACTAATGATGCCGTCTGTAAAATTTCCGAAGAGATAATTTCAACTTCACCGCATGGAACTCATGGTTAATGGCTTCCTTGTACGCAGCAACCCTCTCTCAAGGAAATCATGTCGGGTAAATCCATTTTCTGGAATGTCGTATCAAATGGGAGATATATAAGGAGACACAAAGCCTAAAGGCACAACGATTCATATCCATCCAAGCACAGGGAGTTACAACATTTTCCTTTTTAATAAGTTTTAAAGCGTCTCAATATTGACAACTCCAAGTCTAAACGTCACGGCCTTATTGCACCTTTTCTATTCCTCATTTGTATAGTCCAACTGGAGATGCATGTTATTACTGGTGACTTTAACATTGTCAACAACACTTCTCTGCGAAACGTATTAACCAACGGGTCGGAATACCCAGTTAGAAATTTTAAATACCAATGAATTCAGTCTAGGATTATGTCAAGCAACGTGACAAAGAAGAAGTTAATAATCTTTTTCGAATTGGTTGTGGCTGCGAGGTCGTTGAATTTAAAAAAAACTTTATGGGTCTATCACGCCAAGGATTTGTATAGTAAGATTACTATACAAATCCTTGATCACACTCATGATACATCAATCGTTAAATTCAAAGACCCAAATGTTGCAAAACACCTCAGGTAGTCAGGCTATATGATAGATACACTGTTGTCCTCGCAGACAAAGCCCCGAACAACATCTTTTATGTTTGAAAATATAAAATAGTTATGGTTTAATACAATGTCATGTTAACTTCGTATTCTTAAAATAAAACAATGCATATAGAGTCATTTTACTGTCATCAGAGACATATATATATATATGTCTCTGCTGTCATTTGGGGAAAGTTTGATAATCCAGAAATAATGAAATCAATATGTTACAGATGGTCAAGTGCATAAGAATAATAAAATGAACTATGATTTATAAATCACCCAAAGAAATTGAATTAAAAAAAATTCGCTTTAGACAACAAGAAATGTCCATCATTTTCTAAGTTTGGCCATGGTATGCACAGGAAACTCTATTTACATTAAAAGAGACGACTTTGTTAATCATGGTTTCTCTTTGAGATGATTAATATACAAACTGTATGCATCCGAAGCGCTTTTCTGTATTTAAAGCACTGCATACCTTTTTGGACAGGTTAAACTTTTAAAGTGTTATTTGTATCTTTACATGGGATTAAACTACTTTCGGTATTCAGATGAACAATTCTCGCGCGAATAATTACGTCCCCTGTTTGAACTCTCTATTCACACGAATCAGGAGCAGAAAAAAATCGAAATATTTATTTATTTTTGTGACAACATGATGCGGAATAGGAACACAAAATGAATCTAAATATGTTCTCAATACCCTTCTAAAAACTCAATCTTTGTATACAAGACAAACAAATACATCAAAGCACAAAAAACACCAAAACGGCGGGGGTAGTTGCAGACAGAAAATAATGAAAATAAACAAAAACATTGACACTTTTCTTTACTCGTCATACCTGGACAAATAACTTTGACTCATAATAATGGTGAGCTGAAGAAGTGGAATGTTGGTAGCATTGTGTCTTGCCTCTTTCATTATTGGTGTTGTGGTTACCATTCTAATCCAGACATTTGTCATCAGAAGACGACTTCTTGCCATTCCTTTAGAACCAATTCCCCACAAGCCACAGTTCTGTCAATATAAATTGCCAAAGGTGAGAAAAATGAGATAGAAAACAAAAAAGTTTCTAGGCCATGTAAGTCCTAAAATGATAGGCAGTGTCTGCGCGACCCCACATGCGGGGACGAGTAGCCAAATTGGCATTCGTAGGCTACGCGTACCCGCTTCTGGTTTTATAATTGGATCTTGAATAAAACATGAAATAAACGCGGAAATTTACATTTATTAATCACAGAGATGAGAATCGTCCCTGGTTAGTTTTTAAATATTTTTCCTTTAAATATTAGCTATAATTATTGATATAATGTAATCTATGTTAAAAAAAAATTAAATGACAATCAAATTAAAAAGCATAACAAACAAATGAGAAAAACAAAACAAAATAAAAACAGTTTAAGTTCTTAAATAAAAATATAAATAAAATAGATTATATACATATATACTATAGGATTAAACACATTTTTTTCTAGAGGTTATTGATGTGTAAACTGGGGCGATTAACTCACAAACTGAATAAAAGTCTGAAGGACTTTTATGTAAAGTTTGTGAGTAAGCGACCCAGTTTACACAATAATAACCTCTAGAAAAAATGTGTTTAATCCTTATAATTCTTAAGCCAAAGATTTGCAATTTTTAATTAACAATTTTTGTTCATAGGCTACTATTTACCATCAAATTCACAATTGGTATGTTGTAACTAAAGAGTGAGCCGCCATATTGACTTTCTGAAATCCATAAATGTTCGATTAATGCAATAGAATCTAAAATGAAAAAGCACCTGCCTCAAAAACTTCATGATATCTGAATTTGAATTGTACAAGTAACAAAATAATCTTCAGACAGAGTTTTCATTCGTATGAAGTCATGTTATGCCATGACATTAACCGGCAAGACGATTATTCATCATATTTTGCAGAATTTTATTTTATTTCAATTACATACGTTTTCCAAGCTTTCTTAATGCATTACTTCTTTGTGTCATGCGTTATAAAAAGGAATAACAGTTATGTATTTGTTTTTTTAATCTCAATTTGCTTAGAACCCCTAGATCCCATGCATTTATATCGGGCATGAATAGATCACAGTGAAGGTTATGAAAGTAGTTTCGGCAACATGGTTTATCGAAGTGTAAAACAAAGCAAAAATTTCTAACAGACCAATCCAATTCAAGTATTTGTAGATATGCAAATCATAGAAGAATTATATAGATATAACACCAATTCAAATTAATTTATTCATCATACATAACATTGTTCATTTCAACCTATATATGAACCAGGGCTTCCAAAATTATTTTTTAGCCAGCCGTTCATTTTATATATTATCCCGATTTTAATCCCTTAAGACTAAATAAACAAAAGGCAATTAATGAATTATGGTAATCAGTTGCTGAGTTGGCCATCCCAATGATTGATATTTAAAAAAAACGATATTAAACTTTCTTTGATTCAAATTCGAAGTTCTGACGTAAACTGATAAATCGGCAGTGCGTCATCCGAAGTGTGCAACATCAGCGTACTTATATCTGCCTTAGACTCTTTATTTGTGCAAAATAACGTTGTCAAAAACTTTACTTTCGTTTTTAAATCTGAAACTTGATGTTATCTTGACAATGGTAAAACATGAACCAGAGACGGATATGTAAATTCCGTGTACGTTTGCAAAGCATGAATGAGTGTAAGTAGCTCATTCTATGTTATTTCTTCAAGAAAATATTCGAAATAAACGTGAGATAAAGGTATCAATGACAATTTTAGCATTTTTTTTAAGAAATTAGGATGCATAATTAAATTTCACACCTGGGCACATGCACATGCGCACACGTGTACTAGTTCAAACAGAGACATGTCTCTGGTTCAAACAACGTGGTAATGACGATTTTTCATTTTCACCTCTTTAATTTTTTCATCAAATCTTATTTGTTAATGTATTTCTGATAATTTAAATCTTTTTGACTAAATTAATTAGATGCAAACCGGTGAAATGTAAGAAAATAACTTTGAATAGACCGTTCAATGTCCGGTTCAAAATAGTTTACCTGTCACCTGAACAGGTAAATTTCAGCTGTTCAACAACTAATTAGCCTTGATTAAAATGAGAAGGTATTAAAGTAGGGGTTGTTTTGATAGTACTTAATGATCATGTCACTTTTATGACCGGAAATGTGTGGCTGTTAAAGGCAAAAGGTTGGGTCAAAAAGATCGCGAATTATGTTAAAATGACCGTCTCTTAAGAAAGCCTTGAAATCTAAAAAGTAGATGACCCTTTCGTGCTTTGCCCAGCCGGACTTTTACCGGACATTATACAAATGTCCGGAATATATGACAGTTTTGGAAGCCTTGATATGAACATCTGAAATATTTCATTATATTTCTGGTGCAACAGTAGAAGTAGTAAAAGATGAATCCAGAGTTCTGACTGGATATATAATTGTCAAATTTTAAATCTATTTTTACACATATGGAATTTGATCTTATTACTTGCTTCTTTAATTTATGTATACACTAAAGCTTTATTTTTAGTCATTTTAGATATTTTAAAATTTTGGTTTCTGTTTTGCATTTTTCTAGAAAATTATTTTCACACTCAAGTTTTTACATATCTTTTTATACGACCGGTCGTTTATTGGTATGACGTTGGCGTTGTCGTCGTCTGAAGACACATTGGTTTTCGCACAATCACTTTAGTTTAAGTGAATGGATCTCTATGAAATTTTACCATAAGGTTCAATACCACAAAAGGAAGGTTGGGATTGATTTTGGGGGTTATCGTACCAACAGTTAAGGAATTAGGGGCCAAAAAGGGGCCAAAAATAAGCATTTTTCTAGTTTCCAGACAATAACTTGTGGAACAGTGTATGGATCTCTCTGAAATTATACCACAAGTTTCCATACCACAAAGGGATGGTTAGGATTGGCTTTGGGGGGTTATGGCTCAAACCGTTTAGGAATTAGGGGCAAAAAAGTGGGAAAAACAAGGGTGCCCTGGTTAATGGACAAATACATTAGTACAAAACATAATTTAAAGCAGTGTAAGGGAGGTAATTCAAATACATCATTTGAATTACCTCCCTTACACTGCTTTTAAATTATGTATAAAGTAATGGTTAATGAACAATTAAGACAATTTAAAAGCAGTGTAAGGGAGGTAATCCAAATACAATGTTTTGATTACCTCCCTTACACTGCTTTTAAATTATGTTTGAAGAAATGCATATTTATAAAGGAAGACCAGTAAAAATATCTGCAAATGTTGCATCTTTTTTTTTCAAAAAAATCCATATGAAAGATTTGACACCATATTTTGAATTCTATTATAAAATAGATTAAATTAGCACTATGGTAAATTTAAATGGGTAATTATGGTTGCAAACTCCATTGGAAATTTGAATTGAAATTATGACCATATCTTGAGGGAAAGAATTTTTAAATCTTAGGCCTCACACATGAAATTACCACACTGTGCACTTTAAAGGAGCCTTTCAGCAACTGAGGTCTCTGTAGGAGGCCTCTTGACCTCTTTTTACCTGCATTGTTAAAGGCAAAAGCAGGTCTAGTAGCCACTTGAAGTTTTCTTCATGTTCTTGGCTTTTATGAAAGGGAATGATTATTACACCGGATGTGACCTTGAGAGGTCATACCAGTGTTATGTTGCCGCAGATATTTCCTTGCCGTTTGACTGATAACCGCGAAGGTATTTTGTATAATTAGGCGGATATTATCGCTTGTTATATATTAATTTCATCAATAAATATTCATGAAATAATTTTTACAAACATAGATAAATGATATGAAAATGTTTTGTCCTGAGAAAGATATATACATGTATCAATAACAGATCATGAATACCGAAAATTTGTGTTAAAGCATGCGGAAGAATATCAAAAATTAGAGTTTATTAAAAATTCTAGAATGAAGATAGATTTTAAATTTAGATCTCCACAGGGATTTTGTTATGTAAACAAACACAAATTGTGTGTATTGTCCAAGGTCAAGGTACTTTTAGCTAACATTATTTTAATTTTGCTTTTCACACAAGTTCAATTGATACATGCTTCTACAACCTGACATTTGACCATTCTGGAACGGTTAAGATATTACATTGGCTAGTTTGGAATAAGAAAAGCAGATTTACCATTCTAGAGTGTCTTACATTAAATTGATCTTTTTTCAATTGAATCCTTAGATGGAAAAGTAACAGTATTTTTTTATCGTATATTGGTATCACGTTGTCGTCGTCAGCGTCTTCCAAAGACAGATGGTTTCCGGATAATAACTTTAGTATAAGTAAATAGAAATCAATAAAATTTTAACACAAGGTTTATAACTACTAAAGGAAGGATGGGATTGGTTTTGGGGGTTATGGTCCCAACTGTTTAGGAATTAAGGGCCAAAAAAGGGGCCCAAATAAGCATTTTTGTAGTTTCCAGACAATAACTTGTGTTAAAGTATATGAATCTCTCTGAAATTATACCACAAGTTTCCATACTACAAAGGGATTGTTAGGATTGACTTTGGGGGGTTATGGCTCAAACCATTTAGGAATAAGGGGCAAAAAAGGGGAAAAACAAGTGTTTACTGGTTACAGGACAATTGAGACAATTTAAAAGCAGTGTAAGGGAGGTAATCCAAATCAAAATCAAAATCAAAATCAATTTAAATAACAATGTTTGATTACCTCCCTTACACTGGTTAAAAATTATGTATTAAGAAATGATGATTGTCTGAGATACTGACCATAACTTGGGGGAAAGAATTATTTTTTGGAATAAGGGAAAGGGGGGGAGGTAAAAAAAATTTGAGGGGGACAATTTCTCATTTCAGATTTCAGAAATTAAAAGAAAATTTCTTCAAATATTTTTTTTTTGGGGGGTTAATATTCAACAGCATAGTATATTGCACAAACGCAAAAAAACGGGGTAAAATTTTTTTTTGGGGGGGGGGGGGGGTGGGGGGTCAATTCACATAGTGTATTGCACAAAAGCAAAAAAATATATATAAATTCAAATCGTATAACCAATTTGAAGTTCTTTGACTACAGTTATTCTGTGTCAGAAACCTATTATGTGTCAAAAATTTTATTACAATCCAAATTCAGACCTGTATCAAGCGTGAATATTGTGTCCATTTTGGCCCCTACTTTTCAGAGTTGGACATCTGCGGTCGTATCCAGCTGCGCTCGGCGAAGCAATTTATTTTAGCTTCAAATGGTCTTGTAATTTTATATTGGTCTGGAGCTTGATAATGTTGAATTGTAGTGAGTAAGCAATTTTTACATCTGCTGTGTAGCCACTTCCTGTTTGCTGATGGTTTGAAATTTCACAAAACTCATTACACAAGGAAAATTTACATTCAATTATTTTCATTCCTTTACATTATATCAATGTAAGTACTTTTTTCATGTCCAGTTGAACATAGTTTTGGAAATTCATCATCATTTATGCTTCAATACACAGGTTACCTCAATCATTGGCATGCAGTGATGAAGGTGCAGACCAAGTATTGGTCTTCATGGTCTTGTTCCTGTGAGTAGTAGCAGTCCAAATTTGTCCTTTCCCATTTGGGCGTGCCACTCTACAAAGTTTACCTATATAGCATGTTTAGCTAGGCCCAAATTGTTTTAAAAATCTGCTAATCCTAGTCACTTAAGATTGGAGTCACATGCCATATGTCATGTTAGAACTCACAACCTCAGTGTTGACAGGCTAGTAGTGTTAATACATAATAATCATGATAATGAAGAGGGAGTTTTATGCTAAGCACCTTATGTATACTGTATGCAAGTACATATTCTTAAGAACTCATAGAATTTATTCTTTCACAGGAATTGTTGGCAGTAATACGTGACCAGGACCAGAAAGGATTGAAAGAATCATGTATAGCATTAAATTTGGTCATACAGTTTTTATTCAAAGAGCTACGAGATACAAATCGTGTTCGAAGGTATGGTTACCTATATTGAAGCTATTTATAATTGCTGCATAGTTCTCTTGCTTTTAAAAGTCAAGTTTGACAAAGGAGAAGGTACATTTTGGGCTTATTTGGACCTGTAAAATCTCTCAAAATAGAACATTGAGCACTATTAAAGTCAGATTTTTTAGGCATTAGAAGAAAAGCTTTCACAAAATGTGAAAACTAGTCAAACCATGAAGACATAATTTGACTGGAAGGTTATATTTTTGTGCAAACATATGCAATTTAAGAGCATTTTTGCTAAATTGAAAGAATCATAGACAACAAGCATGAAAATCACAGCCCAAATAATTTGTTTCAGTATATAAACACAAAATACTCTCACTGTTAATATATTTTATTTACCTATGGTTATGCTCTGACACTATTCCAAACATGTACAAGTTATACATGTTATACAGTCACAATTATGTATTACATCAACATTTTACTGATTTAAAAAAAAACAAAATATAGTCACTTTTTGGCCTTTAACCCATGAAAAATATATTATTAAATTTATTGTTTTATTAATACACAAAGATTCAACTTTCATGAATTTTGATTCTGAACATAAGAGATAGTTTGAAATCTATTTGATTTCATTTAAGTGCCATTTTGTTCCTAAATTATACCATCTCATTCTGTTTTCTGTAACACTTGGGAACCATGCATAATTATCTGTAGTTATTGAACTAGGCTCAATGGCTTATTCTGTGAGATAGTCAAGCCCAGCTACTCAGACGTGTAATTTAGGCTAGTACTCATTTCTGGATGCCTTTTTGTTTTTATGTGTCATTAGGTTGATGTCTCATTGAAAGATACTTCACTTCTCTTTTTATTCACATAATTTTGTAGACATACTTTATATAACAAGAAATTCAAACTATAAGGCCAAATAAAAATATAGTTGTTTTTTATGTCTCCCTCCCTACCCTTAATTTTTATGCCTTCCCTAATACACTTTATTGAATTTTTTAGTTATGTATTATTCAAGTTCAGGGCATTTCCCTTAAAATTTATACAGCCTATATGTTAATATTTTTTGTAATAGAATTATTTTACCTTCCTTGCTACTTTTCCGTTTTATTTGCCAGGAGGTAGTAAACTAATATATATATTTTTGTGGCCTTATTATTGGTACATGTATTATTATTTTGATTGCTATATTTGTATACAAGATTTATATCCATAACCTGAATATCTGTTTTATTTTCAAACAGATGGGTAACAAAGAAAATGAACATAGAATTCAACGATATGCTTCAGAGTACAACAGGAAAATTAATAGAAAAAATAACAGTAAGTATGAAGATAGTACATTGGTTTAAATACAAATAATTTGTCTTTTGCCAGACATATGTATTTAATGATATCATTTACCACCCTTAAGAAATGAGGTACATTTATAGATAGTGAAAGTTTTTATGCCCCGCTGTAGCGGAGGGGGCATTAAGTTTTACCCTTGTCCGTCTGTACGTACGTCCCAAAATTGGTTTCCGTTCTCTAACTTTAGTTTGCCTCACTTATACACAAAGTTTATTACCACAAAACACAGATCAAGTTTGAATTTTGGTGGCGTCACTTTTACCGTTCTAGAGTTATGCCCCTTTACAAATGGAAAAATTGCTGATTTTTTTATTTCCGTTCTCTAACTTAAGTTTGCCACAACCAAATATTATGAAACTTATACACAATGCTTATTACCACAAAACACAGATCAAGTTTGAATTTTGGTGGCGTCACTTTTACCGTTCTAGAGTTATGCCCCTTTACAAATGGAAAAATTGCTGAATTTATCGTTTCCGTTCTCTAACTTAAGTTTGCCTCTACCAAATGTTATGAAATTTATACACAGTGCTTATTACCACAAAATACATATCAAGTTTGAATTTTGGTGGCGTCACTTATACCGTTCTTGAGTTATGCCCCTTTACAAATGGAAAAATTGCTGATTTTTTTATTTCCGTTCTCTAACTTAAGTTTGCCACAACCAAATATTATGAAACTTATACACAATGCTTATTACCACAAAACACAGATCAAGTTTGAATTTTGGTGGCGTCACTTTTATTGTTCTAGAGTTATGCCCCTTTACAAATGGAAAAATTGCTGAATTTTTTATTTCCGTTCTCTAACTTTAGTTTGCCACAACCAAATATTATGAAACTTATACACAATGCTTATTACCACAAAACACAGATCAAGTTTGAATTTTGGTGGCGTCACTTTTACTGTTCTAGAGTTATGCCCCTTTATAAATGGAAAAATTGCAAAAATTTTATTTTCTTCTAAATATTAAGTAATTTTTAAATTGGAGTTATCTTCCTTTGTCCATGATTATAGTTGAATCAACTACAATTAATGCTTTATACAATGAAATGTTTAATTTTGACTTCCACTGATAAAACACAGATCAAGTTGAATTTGGGTAGTTTCACTTTAACCATTATTGAGTTATGCCCCTTTATAAATCGAAAGATTGCAAAATTTTTAGTTTTCATTCTGTTACTTAAGTTTGCCCTAACCAAACATTATGAAACCTATACACAATATTCATTACCACAAAACTAAGATCAAGTACAAATTTTTTGTTTCTGTTTCCTAACTTTAGTTTGCCTCAACCAAATGTTATGAAACTTATACACAATGCTTATTACTACATAATACAGATTGAGTACCAAATTTGGTGGCAACACTTTTACCATTCTTGAGTTATGTCCCTTTATAAACACAAAAATTGCTGAATTTTTCCTTTCCGTTCTCTACTTAAGTTAGCCTCAACCAAATGTTATGAGACTTACACACAATGCTTATTGCCACAAAACTCAGATCAAGTTCAAATTGGGAAGCGTCACTTTTACTGTTCTTGAGTTATGTCCCTTTATAACTATATGATATGCAAGCGGGGGCATCATCTGTGTCCACATGTGGACACTATCCACATTTATTTCTATCTTATTTTTTCTCTGATACATATTGTATAAATTTGTGGGATTAAAAAACCCAGAAATAAACACTGAACAGCTGAAAAAAAGGAAAAGAGCAAAAAATGCTCCTTGATCATATAAATTCAATGGAAATTTGCATTGTAAGGCTATCTGATGCTGACAAATGCAGTAAAAAAAATTTTATGAAATATATTTATATCAGTGATGTTAACCATGCATAGAGGGACATAAATTTACCCGCTGTCTTTCTGTCCTATTCTCTTCAGTGCTGAGCTCATGCCTACATTACTTTTAGATATTTATGAAATTCCTATTGAAGGTTCATATTAGCAAACTGCAAATTGTAAGTGCTCTCACAACCATATTTTTTGTTGAATTTTTTAAAAAATTTTAAAGAACAAACTTTTGGAATTATTTCCCTGGTAAATCAAAGTTTATCAGGCAGGCGCCAGTGTAATTCTGTTCTTTTTTTATCACCTAGAAATAATAAGCATCATATTAAAGATGGTCAGTTTTCTGTAGTGGAAAAGAAACTTAAGGAATGCTCATTTCAGTATAATGTTTTATTGAACTTTAGATATGACATCTAAATGCATTGTGAAAAATGACTGATCTACTATATCATGTATATAGTCTAGAAAGTCAAGAGAAACTGAAGAAGGCTAGTGGCCGCTACATCTTATACATGTTTTATTTACATCAATATAAATAAGACGTGGTATGAGTGCCAATGAGACAACTCTCCATCCAAGTCACAATGTGTAAAAAGTAAACAATTATAGGTCAAAGTACAGCCTTCAACACAGAGCCATGGCTCACACCGAACAGCAAGAATGAACTATAATAATATTACTTCTGCTAAGCCTAACAAAAGCGTAACCAAATAATATCATTAGGATTAACTATACTCCTAAACCCTTAATGTTATATTGCATGTTTAGATCATTGAACCAGTTAGCAAATTCATAAAGTTTATTACACATTTTTATACGACCGCAAACAAATTTTTGTGGTCGTATATTGGTATGACCTTGGCGTCGTTGTCGTCGTCGTCTCGCGTCGTCCGGCGTCGTCCGAAGACACATTGGTTTTCGCACTCTAACTTTAGTTTAAGTGAATAGATCTCTATCAAATTTTACCACAAGGTTCAATACCACAAAAGGAAGGTTGGGATTGATTTTGGGGGTTATGGTACCAACAGTAAAGGAATTAGGGGCCAAAAAGGGGCCAAAAATAAGCATTTTTGTAACTTCCAGACATAACTTGTGTGTTAGTGTATGGATCTCTCTGACATTGTACCACAAGGTTCCATATCACAAAAGGAATGCTGGATATTGATTTTTGGGGTAATTGCCTCAAAATTGTAGGAATTAGGGGCCAAAAAGGGGCAAAAAACAAGCATTTTTCTAGTTTCATGACAATAACTTGTGTGTAAGTGTATGGATCTTTCTGAAATTGTACTACAAGGTTCCATATCACAAAGGGAAAGCTGGAATTGAGTTTGGGGGTAATTGCCGAAAGGTTAAGGAATTGGGGGCCAAAAAGGGGCCAAAAATAAGCATTTTTCTAGTTTCCAGACAATAACTTGTGTTCAAGTGTATGGATCTCTCTGAAATTGTACTGCAAGGTACCATACCACAAAGGGAAGGCTGGGATTGATGATGGGGGTAATTGCCTCAATATTTTAGGAATTAGGGGCCAAAAAGGGGCAAAAAACAAGCATTTTTCTAGTTTCAGGACAATAACTTGTGTGTAAGTGTATGGATCTTTCTGAAATTGTACTACAAGGTTCCATATCACAAAGGGAAAGCTGGGTTTGAGTTTGGGGGTAATTACCATAAATGTTTAGGAATTTGGGGCCAAAAAGGGGCCAAAAAACACATTTTTCTAGTTTTCAGACAATAACTTGTGTTCAAGTGTATGGATCTCTCTGAAATTGTACTGCAAGGTACCATACCACAAAGGGAAGGCTGGGATTGAGTTTTGGGGTGATGAATCATAAGGGGGTTCAAAAAATTGGGGGGGGGGGGGTTTGTTTCCTTTTTTTTTTCTTTTAAAATTTTCCATTTTAAGTTGGTTATTTCTGATTTATATTTAAAAGCAAATAATAATGATATGGTAGGAGATACACACCAAACAGGATGTGTAAATTATTATATAATAAGTTTTGTGCAATAGCAAGAAATTTTCAATTGCACAGTATTGCACAATAACTAAGAAATCTTCAATTGCACAGTATTGCACAATAGCAAGAAATATCCAATAGCACAATATTGCGCAATAGCAAGAAATTGTCAATTGTACAGTATTGCGCAATAGCAAGAAATTTTCAATTGCACAGTATTGCACAATAACTAAGAAATCTTCAATTGCACAGTATTGCGCAATAGCAAGAAATTGTCAATTGTACAGTATTGCGCAATAGCAAGAAATATTTAATTGCACAGTATTGTGCAAAAGAAGATACTTCGTATAAATTGCTTATTTCTTGACCAATTTCAATGGGGTTTTATTCTTGAATTCTTGGGGTTCTTTAATATGCTGAATCTAACCGTGTATTTAGTTTTTGGATTTTGTGCCCTGTTTTTAAATTGGTCCACATTGAGGTCCAAAGGGTCCAAAATTAAACTTTGTTTGATTTCATCAAAAATTAATTATAGGGGTTCTTTGATATGCTGAATCTAACCGTGTATTTAGATTCTTAATTTTTGGTTCCGTTTTCAAATTGGTCTACATTAAGGTCCAAAGGATCCAAAATTAAACTTAGTTTGATTTTAACAAAAATTGAATTCTTAGGGTTCTTTGATATGCTGAATCTAAACATGTATTTAGATTTTTGATTATAGACCCATCGGGGTCCAAAATTAAACTTTGTTTGATTTCAACAAAAATTGAATATATGGGGTTCTTTGATATGATGAATCTAACCATGTATTTAGATTTTTGATTTTTGGGCCCCGTTATCAACTTTGTCTACATTGAGGTCAAAAGGGTCCAAAATTAAACTTTGTTTGATTTCATCAAAAATTGAATTCTTGGGGTTCTTTGATATGCTGAATCTAACCATGTATTTAGATTTTGGATATTGGACCATAATAGGTGAATGTCCAATTTAAAATTTTTAAGTTCTTAGACCACATTCATTCTGTGTCAGAAACCTATGCTGTGTCAAATATTTAATCACAATCCAAATGCAAAGCTGTATCAAGCTTGAATGTTGTGTCCATACTTGCCCCAACTGTTCAGGGTTCGACTTTTGCGGTCGTATCAAGCTGCGCCCTGCGGAGCATTTTATTTTAAGACAAATTACCTTTATGTTTGATACTATGAATTTTATGTTTTTTTAATCAATGATTTTTTTGTCTATTTAAGTTAAGAGATTTCAATTTAGGACCAACATTTCCTGTTATAAATTGTGTTACTGTAGACACAGTAAAACTCTCAGAGGATGAATCACTAGAGGTATGTAACTCAATTATTGAAATGCAATATTTGATGATATCAGCAGATTAGTCTGAAATACAAACGTAATAGGAGACTTGTAGGTTATTGGTTGTTGAAGGTTGCTTAGTGCACCAGTAAGAAATATTACAAATTAACATGCATATTCAGGACTATTACATTTATATGAATATACCTACCATACTGGGTCTGATTTTGAACATCTGACATGGTCACAGTGTTCAGAAAGACCACCAGCATAACTATTTCTTTTCTTTTTTCCCAGATATACAGTTACTTTTTTATGCCCCACCTACGATAGGTTTAGGGGCATTATGTTTTCTGGTCTGTGCGTCCGTCCGTCCGTCTGTCCTGCTTCAGGTTAAAGTTTTTGGTCAAGGTAGTTTTTGATGAAGTTGGAAGTCCAATCAACTTGAAATTTAGTACACATATTCCCTATGATATGATCTTTCTAATTTTAATGCCAAATTAGAGTTTTGACCCCAATTTTACAGTCCACTAAACATAGAAAATGATAGTGCGAGTGGGGCATCCGTGTACTATGGACACATTCTTGTTTAGAAACAAATATGTTGCTGCACTGTTGTAAATATCAGTAAATGCATCATAATTTTCAATTGAAATTAGAAACAATGAATGCTTTTTTGATATTTCTTTCCACCTGGGTCATATTTGTGTTTTTATTATACTTAAACATTTTAATATAAGGTTTTATCAATTGCAGGAATTAGACATTATGGCAGATCTTGATTATACTGGTGGATTTCAACTCGCCATAGAAATAGATCTAGTTTTTAAAAAGTGGGCATATTTATCTGTTACGGTTACAAAATTGAAGGGCATTGGCAGGTTACAGTTTACACGTAATCCTTACACACACTGGTCTTTTACATTTTATGAGGTATGTTTATAGCAATTCATATTCAGTTATTACTGGCATTGATTTGGAGTGTTTATACTTGCTAATTATGCAAGATCACAATGAAAATTCCAACATTTTCTTTCTTGAAATTTTTTGAAAGGTAATTTCAAGATATATGAACCTTATATAACATCTTCAACATTTAGTTAATATATAAGGTATAATATTTTAAATACAATTACACTTGTTTGTTTTCATAGCTGTTTGTTTAATGATGTCAGTATTCTATGATATTTGACATCTCCATTATTAAGTAAATATATAAGGTATAATATTTGAAATATAATGATGTCAGTTTTCAAGGAAATATTTTGGGAGCCCCTGTGCAAAGAGATGCAGAATTTTTACACAACATATGGCCAATGAAACATGAACCATGGCCTTATTGATACCACAGTTATCTATGTACCAAAGGAGATAACCCTCTTATGATGGAAATGGCAATTAATTTTTCAGAAATGAGGTTCAGAAAATTTTATTTTCTTATAAGTTAACAATGGAGCTATACGCAAGACAGACTATTTAAAAAAGATATTGCATTCAATATGTTTCCTAAAAGTTTAGATATAAAATGATAATAAAATTACACTCATAAACTCATATTTGCAAGTTTGACTTTTACATTTGAAATCCAAACCTTGTTGTAAATCTGCAACAGAAAGATGAAAATGATGGATTCTACCTTTGTGTGTTGTATAATTTTCAGTAATTTTGTTTGTGCTTCATGTTATCAATAGAATTTCTTGACTTTTTGTAAAGAATCCAGTTGTAGAATTTGAGGTGGAATCCAAATTTGGAGGCCGTCCTGTACCACAAGTTACCTCTCTGATCATTAGTCAGGTTTGTTTCTTGTCAGTTCATTTTAGCCATAATTTCTATATAAATTATATGGATTCAAATTGTCCAAAACAAAACTACAATGAAAAATGGAACAACACTAAACATTTTGTTATTGTCTTGGTTGATATCAGAAGACATCCTAATAGGAAATTTCTAGGATGTGGCAATTATATAGGTTTTGATTTAGATAATTGATTTCAGCTGAAAAATATTGAAATTGAAAATCAAAGATCTGAAAAATAATAAATAATCCTGTTTCAAGATTTTGACAAATTCCTTTGCTAATATTGCCTGAATTTAATGAACAAGACCTAGACTTACAATTATTTGATTTGTTTACAGATAAAGAGAATTCTTAGAAAAAGACACACACTGCCTCATTACAAGATGAGATATAAGCCATTTTTTATCCCTCCTGACGAATCCTATAATCCAAAAGACATTTCTTTAAAAGGAAATCTAATAGGTGAAGGCCAGCTGGAGGTGAAGGTCATTAATTGCTCCGGTTTGTTAGTAGAGCATGCTGAGAGATATCTATTTTGTACTCTGAGTGTTGGTAAGTAGCTTATGTTTGATCTTATATGAAAGAATGGTAGCTGTAAATATCCTCTATCAACAACTATTGTTGATGCAGGGATCAATAAGGTATATTTAAAAAAAATAACTCCTCCTGAAACTTCTTTGTGAAATACTTATGTTAACCACTTACAGTGTAGACAGAGATTTATTGTCTCTTTAAAAAAAGAGGTATAATTATAATTTTAACAAATATTTTTTTATTTGTACAAGTATTTTAATTTTAAGTACTATAAGATATTTTTTTAATGAATTTATCATGTTTATGTATATCAATAAAGTTTTTTTTCAATTCATTTTAATGTAACTATCATTGCATTACATACATTGTAATGTCAAAGGTTAATTGGTTTAATAATGTGTGCTTACCACAGCCCTATAAAAAAATCATGGGGAGAATTGAAAATACACTATATAAACTGCAACATAAAAATGCGGTATACCTATTTCAGACAAATTACGATGGCTTGAGTATGAAGAGTTAAGAAAGAAAGTATGGGTAGTGTACGAAGTGAAGATAATAAAAGGAACAGCACAATCCATAGGACTTACTTTTAAAGATGATTTCATGTTGGAGAAGTATGAAGATGTGGTTGTCGTTGACAACGTAACTCCTAATTCCCCTGCTTCAGCCACTGATATTAGGAAGGTAGTGTACAATTGATTATTCAGAAAATTCATGTATTGGCAAATTACACACAACTTTTTAGAAGTCATACAAAATTAATTTACAAAAAAAATTGGGGTGCTTTTATGAGGTTGGAATGCTGTTGATCTTCAAGCGTCAAATGTCCGTTTTTTCGCTACCGTTACCATCAAATGAACCTTAATAATTTATCGTCATTCGTAAAATCTCATTTTGTAGCTACCGTTAGCATCAAATGGAGTAAAATATTTATCGTTAACGTTATTTTAACAAATATTTTACCGTCATTCGTCATGTGGGGTACCCCATTCCTACCCTCTTTTAGAACACTGAATGCTGATTGTAGATTATGTTACTTTTAAGCTTTGAACAGAAAGGAAATATTTTGAATGAAGTACTTAACATATCTAGATTTTATTATATATGGATTTTTGAGAGATAGTTTTTTAAAGGCAGTGCTTTAATGCCTTTCTAGTTGCCGTGTTAATATTTCTTTCCGCGATGTCCAACTTATCTACGTGGGGGGTCATTTAGCTCCAAGTAGATCCGGAAAATGTTGATTCTCTCCTCTTCTTATTGTGGTATAAAATGTTTTTTGTCTCATTTCATTTACATTGGGAAATAGAGAAACGATCATTGTGTTTTGTTAGTTTTAAAAACTTTTGATATATTTGTATTTTACATTATAAGCAGTCAACCGATTGACAAACTAGAATTATTTGAATTCCGTGTGGAAAGAGCTCGGGTTAATTTCGAGTGTTTTCTGCAATCTAGATGTTTATAAATCATTTCAGTCGTTGATATAATAATTAAAGGTCGACTGAACATGAATTATATTATACAATTTAAAGCGCATTTCTGTTTATGCACGCGAACCCGTCTAACGTTATTGTTATTTCGCAGTTATATAAAGTAGCAAATTATCGTTCCTGAATAGGTGGCGCCGTTGTAGCCGATCCTGTACTTCAACTTCCGGTTTCTGCACTGTGCAACTATTACAGTTGCATTTTTAATTAACGATGCCAAGTACTTGTTGTTGTGTACCTGGATGTCATTTAAGAGGAGGACATGCATTTCCAAATGACTTAAAAAGAAGGAAAAGTTGGATCAACGCCATGGCCCATACGCAGATTGGACGAGAACACGATGAAATCGTGGAGTCCATCTCAATCAGCTGTTGTTTGCAAGGCACATTTTACTGAAAAAGACTACGTGCAGGAAACTATTCATGGTAAAACTCTATTTTCTTTTTAAAATATATAGTTATATATGTAATCGCCATGCGAATAAACCAAAGTCAGTTTACAACCGCAATTATCGTTGTAGAATAAAAGGGGGTGGTTAATTCAAGACGTCATAATTTTTTGGATTACGATTCAATGTGATCTGTTTGAGATTTTTTGGTGCTTGCTACAATTATAATGATTTCTTACAAGAGGTATATCATACTGAGAATTATTTTAGCAGTAATTATGCTTATGTAGTAATGACAGGAATGCATAAGCTATGCCTCATAGACTTTCTTGAAAAATATCAATGACAATGTTAACAGGAACAAAACAATGACATGCTCTCATCTATATTATAGTTATTTAGGTACAAACAATGTATGTTTGTTGCATACGTCTCTCATTGTTTGTCCTTTGGATTTACATAACATACATTTTGATGTACATTGAATCAGGCTAACATAGTTTTATCCAGATTGTAATGAATAAATCTAGTTAATATTTTGCCAGGTTACGAGTACAAAGGAATTATAGTTATCTCGTACCATTGTAACTCGTACCAATGTCAACTCGTACCACTTAACAAAAACTCGTACCACTGCTAACTCGTACCATTGTAAACTCGTACCCACTTATTTAAATGCATTCAAATGGTGTTTAATGATGAATATATACTTTAATTTCACTCAATACCTCTTAAGTCTGTAAAATGTATATAATTTGAAATTACAATAACCAATTTGTAGCTAATTTTCCTTGTCTAATTGAAAAGAGAAAACCGTGGCAGATTGGCTTTGTTGTCTCCCTTGAATAGACTCTTTTTTAAACTTTTACTGACAACTATTTGATTTCATTTTTAATCATTCCAAATCAGTAACATTGAATAGATTTGGGTATTTTTCTATTGTTTCTAAAAGGAATTTTATTTAATGAAAGAATTTATTGATTGTGTTTAAAAGGTTTAAAATTGTTTATGACCAACAGTTAGACAGTATGAAATTTATTTTTATACAATATTCAGCACATTTCAGCAGAATATGACCATGCTTATATGATCATACAAGTTGATTAGTTAAAGATAAAAAAAACCAAGTTGATTAGTTAATAATCAACCAATAATCACACAATCAAAGGAATTTAATATATTTATTAGCATGGTAATTAAGAAATTACATTTGTATTTTTGTCTAAGATTTCATTAAAATCTGGTATAAATTTCAAAGATATTTTAATTTTTTGTATAAAGCTTAAAAAAAAAAAATCATAAAACATTCGTATTTTTGTCTAAGTTTTCATTAAAATCTAGTATAAAATTCAAGTAATTCAACTTTTTTTATTTAGTTTACCAAAAAAAAAAATCATAAAACTTTCGTATTTTTGAATATATTTTTAATGGTACGAGTTTGCAGTGGTACGACTTCCCAGTGGTACGAGTTTACGTTGGTACGAGTTAACTTGCTTCTGTACAAAGTATGCATTGCTAATGGAAGTTCATTTATTTATCAAAAAACTAATGTTTTATAACCTTTTTCAGGGCACAAACCCACCATACAGAGACTTTAAGTCTACTGCCAATCCCAGCCTATTTTCCTGGACCAAGCAAGAGACTGAATCGTCCGCAAAGAGAAAAATCAGGGCAGTTTCCTGTGAAAACAAAAGAACTAAACTTGATGAATATTGTAGTAGAAATCTAGAGGAAAGTTTTGATTGTAAAGTTGGTTTTCCTGAAGAAGTAATTCATACTGCAGACAGGATTTATGACTGTCCACCACCAACTGCCGAGCTAATGTTAAGCTTCACAGATGGAATTACGCAAACACCATCAATGCCTATATTTTCAGCAGAGAATTTTGAAATGAAGACACGTGACACAGCCATGCATTTTTATACCGGTTTAGAGTTGTATACTAAATTTTTATTTGTTTTGACCACACTTGGTCCAACAGCACATTGTTTGAGATACATATATTTTCAAATTGATAGGGTGTCATTTGAAAATCAGTTTTTTTATGACTTTGATGAAATTGATGCATTATACAACCAACTTTGAACTGTCTAGATTCTAGATTGAAACTAGTGTTAAGTATATTGTGTAAACATGGATTGTTTTTATGTCTGAACAGTGGCGTGAGGCTAACACTTGGCCATTTAGTGGTTTAGTCAGGTATTTTTCGCCATCCAACTTAGAATTAAAGTTTCCTACAACTTGGATTATTATTGACAGCACAGAATATCCCGTGATAAAACCTAAAGCTCCTAGAGCTCAGGCAACCTTTTCATCATATAAAAACAGAAACACTGAAAATACTTGTATGTTCGACACCTGGTGGTTTAGTCAACTATGTCTCTAATGCATATGTTGGTTGTACCAGTGACTGTGAAATAGTTGAAAGATGTAGAATAGTTCAATTATGTGATCCAGGTGACAGTGTGATGGCAGACAAAGGTTTAAATTTGAAGATTTGTTTGCTCACTTTTTTCAAAAAAAGAAACAGAATTAGTTCCAAAACTCTTATACGGGATAGAAAAGTCTCCAATTAACACGTGCACATAGAGCTAATTATTGGACTTGGCAAAACATACAAAATTCTAATAAATCCTATGAATGGAACTGAAACAAAACTTTCATCTGAAATAACATTTAGTTGTTTTATGTTGTGTAATTTTAGAACTTGTATTGTGCCAAAGGATGCATAAATAAAAGTGACGCAATGAAGTTTGTTCTGATATATATATATAAATATTATTTACAATTACATGCACATGTAAATTGTAATGCATATAAAAATAAGGAGATGTGGTATGATATTCAGTGAGTTTATCGAACCAAAGTGCATAAGAAATTGGTTAAGCAGTTACAGGTGTTACTGTCACCATACAATCTCCAACAATTAGAAAAACTTGTACCGTGTAAATAATTTCAGAGATCTTACAACTAAGTTTTGTTGTCTCACCTTGACTTTGGTGAATTGTTTATATCTGTTGATGTAAATATAAAAAAGAAGATGTGGTATGATTGCCAATGAGACAACTCTCCACAAGAGACCAAATGACACAGAAATTAACAGCTATAGGTCACAGTACGGCCTTCAACAATGAGCAAAGCACATACCGCACAGTGAGCTATAAAAGGCCCCGAAATGACAATGTAAAACAATTCAAACAAGAAAACTAACGGCCTAATTTATGTACAAAAAATGAACGAATAACAAATATGCAACACATAAACAAACGACAACCACTGAATTACAGGCTCCTGACTTGGGACAGGCACATACATGTACATACAGAATGTGGCGGGGTTAAACATGTTCGCGGGATCCCAACCCACCCCCTAACCTGGGACAGTGGTGTAACAGTACAATATAAGAGCGAACTATAAAAATCAGTTGAAAGAGGCTTAACTCATCAGATGGATAAATACAAATACTAGTGGACGTGGCTGGGTAGTTGTACATCCAAACAACAAAAAGACACTAAGTACAGATCTGAGAGTACTCGCATTTACTGACAGCTAGTTCAAAGCCACAAACAACTGATAAAAAAATCTTGCATCTAAGACTAAATTATCAATCCATAAGCTCCCTTTAGAATTTTATAAATTTTAGATTTTACATTATTGAGTTATGGGGTTTTATTCATTAAAAAGGGGGGGATTTTCCAGTTTTTGGACAACAACTCAAAAATGCTTTAAGCAGTTCGCATGAAACTTTGGTGAATTATTTATAGCTATTGATGTAATCTCCCTATTGATTTTCATAAATTTCAAATATGACATTGAGAAGAAATTGAACTTTATTTGTTTATAGTCTGGCAACAGATTTATTAAGTATTGCGCAACAGCACAGTGTATTGCACAACAGCAAGAAATCTTTAACTGAATATAAATTCAATTCATATAACTGATTTCAAGTTCTTTGACTACATTTATTCAGAAACTATAATATGTCAAATATTTAATTACAATCCAAATTCAGACCTGTATCAAGCTTGAATATTGTGTCCATTTTTGCCTCAACTGTTCAGGGTTGGACCTCTGTGGGTGTATCCAGCTGCGCTCAGCGAATCAGTTTATTACTTAATTAAGAACTCCTTTTTGTCGAGCCTGTGACTTTTGTCGCAGAAAGCTCGACATAGGGATAGTGATCCGGCGGCAGCGTTAGCTAACTTCTTAAAAGCTTTATATTTTAGAAGGTGGAAGGTCTGGATGCTTCATACTTTGTTTATGGATGCCTCATGTTACGAAGTTTCCATCAGTCACATGTCCAATGTCCTTGACCTCATTTTCATGGTTCAGTGACTACTTGAAAAAAAAGTTAAGATTTTTTGTAATGTTGAATTCTCTCTTATTATAAGTAATAGGATAACTATATTTGGTATGTGCATACCTTGCAAGGTCCTTATGCCCGTCAGACAGTTTTCACTTGACCTCGACCTCATTTCATGGATCAGTGAACAAGGTTAAGTTTTGGTGGTCAAGTCCATATCTCAGATACTATAAGCAATAGGTCTAGTATATTCGGTGTATGGAAGGACTGTAAGGTGCACATGTCCAACTGGCAGGTGTCATCTGATCTTGACCTCATTTTCATGGTTCAGTGGTTATAGTTAAGTTTTTGTGTTTTGGTCTGTTTTTCTTATACTGTATGCAATAGGTCTACTATATTTGGTGTATGGAATGATTGTAAGGTGTACATGTCTTGCTGGCAGGTGTCATCTGACCTTGACCTCATTTTCACGGTTCAGTGGTCAAAGTTAAGTTTTTGAGTTTTGTCTTTTTTTCTAATACTATATGCAATAGTTCAACTATATTTGGTGTATGGAAATATTTTATGATCTATATGTCAGTCACGCAGGTTTTTTTTATACCTTGACCTCATTTTCAAGGTTCATTGCTCAGTTTTAAGTTTTTGTGTTTTGGTCTGTTTTTCTTAAACTATAAGCAATAGGTCAACTATATTTGTTGTATGGAAGAATTTTTAGATGTACATGCCTGCCTAGCATGGTTCATCTGACCTTGACCTCATTTTCTTGGTTCATTGGTCAATGTTTAGTTTACTTGGTTAATGTTAAGTTTATGTGACAGTTGTAATAAAGCTTTATATTTAGGACTATCAACATAATATCAATGATTAGTAAAGAAGGCGAGACATTTCAGCGTGTGCACTCTTGTTTCATTCATAAATTACTTTATACTTGGAAATATAATTTTGCTTGGAGTTATAGTTTCTAAAAAAAGTATTGTCATTGAAAGAGTTGACATGTTGCAATGTACATTTATTCTACATAGTTCTATGGTACCAAATCAAAAGTTTATATTAAAGAAAGAAGTCAAAGGTTTCCCATCATAGTTTAGTTACATACATATTTTTTGTACCTGAGGTCGTTGAATATAGATCATTATATAAATAAGGAGATGTGTTATGATTGCCAATGAAACAACTATCATCCATACATTGTACTTACCAGTAACAAACCACATTTGCAAAGTTGAATAAAATACAGTTGATAACATTTACTTATTACTTAAAAGAAAATGCCAAACTATTTTAAACAGTATTTGACTATAAACATAGATAAAAAAGGTACTAACTGGACATAATGCACTAGTTCATAAACAAGTGAGAACAATCGCCTTCATATAGTGCTCAGAATATGACATTCATAAAACTTGTTCAATATCATTAGGGAACTCTAAATCTTAAATACTGAAAGCCACCTCTGATAAGTACAATGTACTATGCAAGATAATGATATAACTGGACTAAAAATACACACAACCTGTAATTAACTGCCTTTACAGCGCTTTCGCGCTTTGATTAATGTATGAACTCAATCTCAAAGTGATATATATTCAGTAATAATATATCTAGAAAAGAAAAAGTCAGAAAAAGTACAAGCAGATAATGTTAGATCACAAATAGATACAAAATTTTAAAAAGGTAAAAACATTATACATGTACCTCCATGTAAATGGATATTAAGGCATTTCAGAAATCTTGGTAAAGGGTCAGAAAGGACATTAATGATTGATTGATGTCGATTGATTCTGAAGATTGACCTTTAATAGAACATGTATTATTTACTGGACAGTAAGAGATTTGTATCAATAATATTCTATGACATAGAAAACTAGTATTTCCTGATGTTCCATTCCTATATATGATAGAGTAACTATTGATAATGTTATTTGTGTGATTTTTGTTTCCAGGGTGATGTATTAGTAAGTGTAGGCATGACAAGGATAACATCAGTAAAACAAGCTGGAAAAATTCTTAGAAATGTAAATGACAGGTAAGCATAGTGTCACTTCATTATATATACCTTGTTCTTTGAACACACAGAAATTAAAAATTAAACTAAGAAAATAACACATGATACATTATGACATGACCAAGTTACTTTTATTACTTGCATATTTTAAGATTGAAGTAAATAAAAAATATGATGAAAATAAAACGACATTTCATCCTCCTATATTCAATAAAGTTTCCAAGTTAGTTTGATATCAGAAAGCATTGATTTAAATAACATCAAACTGTACCAATTCTGCTGCAACATATGTAAATTAGACAATACTGTCTCTTCAGTGATGCTTGTTGCCAACTTATTTGAAAATCCAAAAACTAATACAAATTTTGAAGAGCAGATATAAAAAGGAAAGTACCAAATATATAGCCAAACCTGGACAATGGATCATAGCTATGCATGAGAGAGATACATATCTTAATTTCAAATGATATCTTAAGTTTTATAACAGGTAAATTTCAATAAAGGAATTTCTGTATTTTGATGCCAGTACCATATATAGTACTGAACTACTGGTCTGTTGATATTCCTAGGGACTAGAAGTCCACTAGCAGAGGTATCGACCAAGTGGTAGATGTAAAATTTACTGGTAACAATTTAACTGCACCTGATGCACATTTTCGCAGTAAATAAAAACATGGTAAATTAAATTGCCATGTACAGTGGAAGAAATTATCTCGCACACATTTGTCATTTTTTAAAGGAAGTGCTTTAATGCCTTTCTGGTTGCCGGGTTAATCTTTCCTTCCCCGATATCCAACTTATCTACATGGGGGGTCATTAGGCTCCAAGTAGATCCGGAAATGTTGAATTTTCTCCTCTTCTTATTGTGATATAAAAAATTTTTTGTTTCATTTCATTTACATTGGGAAAAAGAGAAACAATCAATTTGTTTTGTTAGTTTTAAAAACCTTTGATATATTTGTATTTTGCATTATAAGCAGTCAACCGATTGACAAACTAGAATTATTTGAATTCCGTGTGGAAAGAGGTCGGGTTAATTTCGAGTGTTATCTGCAATCTAGATGTTAATAAATCATTTCAGTCGTTGATATAATAATTAAAGGTCGACTGAACATGAATTATATTATACAATTTAAAGCGCATTTCTGTTTATGCACGTGAACCCGTCTATGTTATTTCGCAGTTATATAAAGTAGCAAATTATCGTTCCTGAATAGGTGGCGCCGTTGTAGCCGATCCTGTTCCTCAACTTCCGTTTTCTGCACTGTGCAACTATTGCAGTTACATTTTTAATTAACGATGCCAAGTACTTGTTGTTGTGTACCTGGATGTCATTTAAGAGGAGGACATGCATTTCCAAATGACTTAAAAAGAAGGAAAAGTTGGATCAACGCCATGGCCCATAAGCAGATTGGACGAGAACACGATGAAATCGTGGAGTCCATCTCAATCAGCTGTTGTTTGCAAGGCACATTTTACTGAAAAAGACTATGTGCAGGAAACTATTCATGGTAAAACTCTATTTTCTTTTTGAAATACAAGTTATATATGTAATCGCCATGCGAATAAACCAAATAGATATAAGAAGATGTGGTATGAGTGCCAATGAGACAACTCCCCATCCAAGTCAAAATTTATAAAAGTAAACCATTATAGGTCACAGTACGGTCTTCAACACGGAGCCTTGGCTCACACCGAACAGTAAGCTATAAAGGGCCCCAAAAATTACTAGTAACAAACAGGAAAACCAACGGTCTAATCTATATAAAAAACGGGAAACACTTATGAACCACATCAACAAACGACAACTACTGAACATCAGATTCCTGACTTAGGACAGGTGCAAACAAATGCAGCGGGTTTAAATGTTTTAATGGTACCAAACCTTCACCCTTTTTCTGAAACAATAGTGTAACATCACAACATAGAAAGACACACTATAAAATATCAACTGAAATAGCTTAACTCAATCAAAGGACATATTAACACCATTGAACATACACTGAACAAATAAATTTGACCTATGACACAATGTAAATACAAAATAAATAAACTAAGGGTAGAATAATAAAAGTAACATGTTATATCGGTAAGAAATGTTAAACAATTAAAGAAAAACAATATGCTCGAACAAAAATATCTCAGCCATTTGCAATAATTTTAAACACAGGTAAATGAAAATAATTTTGTTGTGAGGTATACGTGTACAGTACCAATAGAGAAAGGAAATATTTTTACAAAATAAATAATTTTGATGTTCATAGTACGAAGTGAAAATTTATAGTTATACCAAACACTTATCAAAGCTGGTATATAGACCAGATATAACCCAAAGTCTGTTTAAAACTGCAATTATCGTTTTAGAATAAAAGGGGGTGGTTAATTCAAGACGTCAAAATTTTTTGGATTACGATTCAATGTGATCTGTTCGAGATTTTTTGGTGATTGCTACAATTATAATGATTTCTTACAAGAGGTATATCATACTAAGAATTATTTTAGCAGTTATTATGCTAATGTAGTAATGACAGGAATGCATAAGCTATGCCTCATAGACTTTCTTGAAATATATCAATGACAATGTTAACAGGAACAAAACAATGACATGCTCTCATCTATATTATAGTTATTTAGGTACAAACAATGTACGTTTGTTGCATAAGTCTCTCATTGTTTGTCCTTTGGATTTACATAACATACATTGAATCAGGCAAACATAGTTTTATCCAGATTGTAATGAATAAATCTAGTTAATAGTTTGCCAGGTAGTACAAAGTATACATTGTTAATGGAAGTTCATTTAATTATCAAAAAACTAATGTTTTATAACCTTTTTCAGGGCGCAAACCAACCATACGGAGACTACTGCCATTCCCAGCCTATTTTCCTGGACCAAGCAAGAGACTGAATCGTCCGCAAAAAGAAAAATCAGGGCAGTTTCCTGTGAAAACAAAAGAACTAAACTTTTTATATTGTAGTACAAATCTAGAGGAAAGTTTTGATTGTAAAGTTGGTTTTCCTGAAGAAGTCATTCATACTGCAGAAAGAATTTATGACTGTCCACCACCAACTGCCGAGCTAATGTTGAGCTTCACAGATGGAATTACGCAAACACCAACAATGCCTATGTTTTCAGCAGAGAATTTTGAAATGAAGACATGTGACACAGCCATGCATTTTTATACCGGTTTAGAGTTGTATACTAAATTTTTATTTGTTTTGACCACACTTGGTCCAGCAGCACATTGTTTGAGATACATATATTTTCAAATTGATAGGGTGTCAGTTTTTTTATGACTTTATGAAATTGAGGCATTATACAACCAACTTTGAACATTCTAGATTGAATCTAGTGTTAAGAATTTTGTGTATACATGGATTGTTTTTATGTCTAAACAGTGGCGTGAGGCTAACACTTGGCCATCTAGTGGTTTAGTCAGGTATTTTTCGCCATCCAACTTCAAATTAAAGTTTCCTACAACTTGGATTATTATTGACAGCACAGAATATCCCGTGATAAAACCTAAAGCTCCTAGAGCTCAGGCAACCTTTTCATCATATAAAATCAGAAACACTGAAAATACTTGTATGTTCGACACCTGGTGGTTTAGTCAACTATGTCTCTAATGCATATGTTGGTTGTACCAGTGACTGTGAAATAGTTGAAAGATGTAGAATAGTTTAATTATGTGATCCAGGTGACAGTGTGATGGCTGCAGCAGACAAAGGTTTACATGTAAATGTGCAAGATTTGTTTGCTAACTTTTTTCAAAAAAAGAAACAGAATTAGTTCCGAAACCCTTATACAGGATAGAAAAGTCTCCAATTAACACGTGCACATATAGCGAATTATTGGACTTGGCAAAACATACAAAATTCTAATAAATCCTATGAATGGAACTGAAACATAACTTTCATCTGAAATAACATTTAGTTGTTTTATGTTGTGTAATTTTAGAACTTGTATTGTGCCAAAGGATGCATAAATAAATGTGACGCAATGAATTTTGTTCTGATATATATATATTTACAATTACATGCACATATAAATTGTAATGCATATAAAAATAAGGAGATGTGGTATGATATTCAGTGAGTTTATCGAACTAAAGTGCATAAGAAATGGGTTAAGCAGTTACAGGTGTTACTGTCACCGTACAATCTCCCAACAATGAGAAAAACTCGTACTGTGTAAAAAATGTCAGAGATATTACAACTAAGTTTTGTTGTCTCACCTTGACTTTGGTGAATTGTATATATCTGTTGATGTAAATATAAAGAAGAAGATGTGGTATGATTGCCAATGAGACAACTCTCCACAAGAGACCAAATGACACAGAAATTAACAGCTATAGGTCACAGTATGGCCTTCAACAATGAGCAAAGCCCATACTGCACAGTCAGCTATAAAAGGCCCCGAAATGACAATATAAAACAATTCAAACAAGAAAACTAACAGCCTAATTAATGTACAAAAGATGAAAGAATAACAAATATGCAACACATAAACAAACGACAACCACTGAATTACAGGCTCCTGATATACATGACTTGGGACAGGCACATACATGTACAGACGGAATGTGGCGGGGTTAAACATGTTAGCAGGATCCCAACCCTCCCCCTAACCTGGGACAGTGGTGTAATAGTACAATATAAGAACGAACTATAAAAATCAGTTGAAAGAGGCTTAACTCATCAGATGAATAAATACAAATACAAGTGGACGTGGCCGGGTAGTTGTACATCCAAACAACAAAAAGACACTAAGTACAGATCTGAGAGTACTCACAGTTACTGAAAGCTAGTTCACAGCCACTAGCAACTGATAAAAAAATCTTGCATCTAAGACTAAATTATCAATTCCGTAAGCTCCCTTTAGAATTTTATAAATTTTAGATTTTACATTTCAGAGTTATGGGGTTTTATTCATTAAAAAAGGGGGGATTTTCCAGTTTTTGGACAACAACTCAAAATTGCTTTAAGCAGTTCGCATGAAACTTTGGTGAATTATTTATAGCTATTGATGTAATCTCCCTATTGATTTTCATAAATTTCAAATATGACATTGAGAAGAAATTGAACTTTATTTGTTTATAGTCTGGCAACAGATTTATTAAGTATTGCGCAACAGAACAGTGTATTGCACAAGAGCAAGAAATCTTTAATTGAATATAAATTCAATTCATATAACCAATTTCAAGTTCTTTGACTACATTTATTCAGAAACCTATAATATGTCAAATATTTAATTACAATCCAAATTCAGACCTGTATCAAGCTTGAATATTGTGTCCATTTTTGCCCCAACTGTTCAGGGTTGGACCTCTGCGGGTGTATCCAGCTGTGCTCAGCGAATCAGTTTATTTTCTTAATTAAGAACTCCTTTTTTCATTCATAAATTACTTTATAGTTTCTAAAAAAAGTATTGTCATTGAAAGAGTTGACATGTTGCAATGTACATTTATTCTACATAGTTCTATGGTACCAAATCAAAAGTTTATATAAAAGAAAGAAGTCAAAGGTTTCCCATCATAGTTTAGTTACATACATTTTTTTTGTACCTGAGGTCATTGAATATAGATCATTATATAAATATGGAGATGTGTTATGATTGCCTTTACAGTGCTTTCACGCTTTGATTATTTACATATTTTTGTAGTGTTATGCTTAGATTGGAGAGAGCCAAAACTGGGTCTTCTGAAGATTATATAAAGGTTTGTTCATACATCAGTTAAATGTAACAAAACTAGCATGGTCTCTTATATCCAGCTCCTTTTTATAAATATGCATGTATAAGCCTAACTGTTTACAAAAAAAAAAAAACACACAAAACAAAAAAAAATAACAAAACATGAAAATTTTTTTTTTTCCTACAGAAAAATAAAATGTATGAGTAAAAAATAAATAAAAGCATTTGAAAAAATTACAATAGATAGTAAAATGTTGACCAACAATTTAATTTAATTTATTACTGATAAAAACATGTAAAAGTATCATGTTGTTACATCTGTTTTGAAAGTCAACTTTTATTTAAAATTAGGTTACTGATCCTCTTTCATTCCCCGCTACCTTGGCATTAATTCGTATCTGGGGCACATTAAGATGTAGAGTTATTTAAATTTTCATGGATGAATATTTAAGCGTACATATGAAAGTTGGTCTTTAAATGATTCAAGTCTACATCAAAGTAATTGCCATAAAAGTATGATGACAAGTAAAACAAATATGCAAAATCCAATTGTTTAGACCAATAACCTTTGAGAGTTCACCAGGTAGCACCTGTCTTAGTTAGTTTGATAAGATGGACTAAAGCTTTGTAATAATAAGTTACCTTTATTTGTCAATGTGGTACTGTAAATTAAGAAATTTTTACATAGATATAAGAAGATGTGGTATGAGTGCCAATGAGACAACTCTCCATCCTAGTCAAAATTTATAAAAGTAAACCATTATAGGTCAAATTACGGTCTTCAACACAGAGCTTTGGCCCACACCGAAAACAGTAAGCTATAATGGGCCCAAAAATTACTAGTGTAAAACCATTCAATCAGGAAAACCAACGGTCTAATCTATATAAAAAACGAGAAACTCTTACGAACCACATCAACAAACGACAACTACTAAACATCAGATTCCTGACTTAGGACAGGTGCAAACAAATGCAGCAGGTTTAAACGTTTTAATGGTACCAAACCTTCACCCTTTTTCTGAAACAATAGTGTAACATCACAACATAGAAAGACACACTATAAAATTATTGCAATTGACAATATGCAAACTAATCATTGCAATTTTAGGACATTCTGCATAAAAATTATGGTATCTGAATTTTAAATCCAAGTTTTTAATTTTGAAAAACCTGTTCTGTTGAGGACTAAGTCTGGTAAGGGTCATATTTGGCCCCAAATATTAAGTCCAATGTTTGAAGATAAAAAATATTTCAAGTGGATGAATCGGCACGTAAGAAAGTGAAATAGAACTTTTTTTTAGTGTAGCTTTTCTTAAAAAGCCTTATATTTACCCCCCAAAAAGAACAAAGGTAGAGATTTTGACAAAAATTGAATAAAATCCTCAGAATTTCTACCAAATTTAGGCCTAGGAAACATAGAACGCAGACTTTGACAAACTAAATACTGGTATTGAAATCAGATATGTAAAATGTTACAATAAATAATTTGTTAATAAACGATCTTTGTTGTCAACGCAGGTACTCTATGTTACCGGTCAAAAAAATAATCAGAAAATTACCTCTTTAATTTTCATGGAAAATCAATATGTGTGCTATATGTGACATCATGAAAAGTATGTTAATATGTAAATTTTCAACAAGTACAGCATATTTCCTACCTAGTCAATGTTTTAAATATGATTCATAGTAATGTTGGTCAATAAATCCTAATCTGAAATTTAAGCTAGAAATAGTGGCCATTTAAGGGTCTTATTGAACCTGCTCCTTTCTGATTTTACAGTATAAAATGTATATAACATAATTTATAAAAATTGGACAGTTGCTGACTTTTATATTTTATTGTTTATAATTTAATTTTGTTTAGGTACCAGATTCTGATAGTAGCAAAATAAAGGATCCTGCAGTAAAAGATGATTATGTTAACATTGTTATTAAACCATGTGATTCAGATGATAAACAAAGAGAAACAGGAAATTCTTTATCATCCAATCAAATCAGCAGAGACAGAAATTTCAAATCTTTATCAACTCCAAGTAGCCCCCATAGAAAGGTTTTGTCATTGGTCACCACAGGGAAAGAGTACTTAAGAAGGAGGGTGAAAAGTCACACTGTGTCGGAGGGTTCTGTCTCCATGACAACAAGTAGCCAATCAGACTTGAATATTCCTAAATCACCAACAGGTCACAGAATCTCAAAATCAATGGATTCTAGACAGTTGACTAGAACCATTAATGGACAGGATTTAGAAGATGACCAGCCTTCAGAACTTCCAATAGTCACTCAATCTGGAGATTTCTTTAAAAATCGTACGAACAGTGATCCAGGCTTTGTTTTGGTAAGTTTTAACTCACAGATATTCCTCTCTTATACTTGTTTACATAAGTTGCTAGTTTTTATTTGAAATAAAGTTTGTTGATAACACTTCATAAATGAATTTTGTCCTTGTCATCATTATGATTTCACCTTTAATAAATACTGTAATCTGTTCTTTCAAAATTCATTCTTAATTATGTAGAAAACTGCTAAATTATTTGAAAAAAAATGAATTTGTGTTTATTTCTACTGAGCTTACATGGGCTAAATACACACTATAATTCAGAACTGGTATTTGGAAAACCAGTAATTTTTGTTCCATCAGATGAATCATTGCTGACTGTCTAACCAAATGTCTGACAGTCCTTTGATGAATTTTAGGAAGCCTAAACCAATGTGTAGTTGACTATACTTTACAAACTGTTTTCATTTCTCAATTTGTGCAGGAGTTATATAGCAGGGGGCATTTCACTGCCACATATAGCAATTTGTTTCACCATGTCTAATTTAAAAATCCTAAATTCTCCTTTGAACACATAGAAAAAAGTTTGATACATAACACATAATTAATAGTGCCTGGGGATGATTTAAAGCATGACCTTTTAATTTTATACTGTTGTTTATAGACCTCTTATTGTCAGAATTCTCTTTTATCTGTGTATTAATAACTTCTAGAATTTTTATTAAATAGGAATTTGGGTAAATTTGTGCTATGGATACTACATGTATAAGCAGAAGGTCAACTATATTTGGTGTGTTGAATTATTATAAGGTGCACATCTTTCTGAATTCACGGCCTAACAACTAACCCTGTTCATGGCACAGCCTAAGTCAACTAATCCTGTGCACGGTATGACCTAAGTCAACTAACCCTGTGCACAGCACGGTCTAAGTCAACTAACCCTGTGCAGGGCTCGACCACCGTCATCTAACCCCATGCACAGCACAGTCTTAGTCAATTAACCCCTTGCATGGCACGTTCTAAGTTTATTTACCCTGTGCATAGCATGGCCTCAGTTAAATAAACTCAGTAAAAAGTTTTATGACAATAATATAAGCGAATTGCTGTATGTGCACATCTGCAGTGGTAATAGATAAGCTACATCTTACATTACATACATACGGTGAGTCAGAAATCAACAATAGTACTCATTAACTATGTATAGTATGGATATCATGTTGACATGACTCATTTGCATATTCATTTTTGAATACATATTAGGCATAAAAAAATGTCCATAGCACAAATTTACCCAAGTTCCAATTTAATAATAACTCTAGAATTGATAATAAATACACTGTTCTCTATCACTTATCAAATAGAGAGGACTATTTCTATTGATAGTTTATTTATTAGTTTACTGTAAACAAGAGGATATTAATCTTATTGTATTGTTATGTCAGCTTAGTATACTGCTTTTTACACACAGCTCAATAGTGATGATTCAGCATCAGAGGATGAAGATGAAGATCAGGATCAGACAGCTAAGGAACAGGAAGTCAATTCATTACCACAAGATGGCATTAGTATTAAATTGGAGGATGTTGAAAAGCAAGGTCTTGCTGACATGAAAAAAACTAAAGAAGTCAAGGCGCAAAAAGTAATTATCAAACAATTTCTTTTTGAAAAGCACTTAGATGATTAATACCAAATGTTACATATAAGTTTTTTGTCGGGCAATGAAAGTATTTTTTACCTTGTTGTAGGTCAATATGGCTGCAAAAGGGGACAAAGTCTTACATTTGGACACAACTGAAAATATATTGAACTTTTAAAAAAACACACATTCAAATAAATGTAGTACTGAAGGAGTATTGCTTCTTTTATGTGGATTGACCAACAAAGTCGTTCACAAGCAGGGGACTAGGTTTAACAATGTTACGATACATATAATATTTTGATTAATAGGTTCTCCTGTTTATAGGCATGAATTTGGACAAAGTTCAGAATTTTTTTTTCTTTTGAGTAATTTATAGTATGACATTTTTTATCTCTGTTTATTATTAGCAAATTGATTTTCTCCTTTTAAATCTTATTTTCTCAAATTTCCTCAAATTGTCAAATGTTTACAATTACATGCATCAGGATATCAGGAGCCTGTAATTCAGTGATTGTAGTTTGTTGCTGTATATAGTGTTTGTTTTTCTTTAATTGTTTTGCACATAAATCAGGCCGATTGTTTCTGGTTTGAATTGTTTTACATTTGTCATTGTGGGGCCTTTTATAGCTAACTATGCGGTATGGGTTTTGCTCATTGTTGAAGGCCATACAGTGACCTATAGTTGTTAACTTTTATGTCATTTGGTCTGTGGTGGAGAGTTGTCTTATTGGCAATCATACCACATCTTCTTATTTTTATATCAATTGACTTAAACACAATCACAATTAATATTGTATTATATCATGAGTATATGACCTGATTGTATCCCCGTATACTGTTATCATAATTTTGTTCAATATTTGGTTGCTCAAGGCTAATGGCATAGTAAAATATTTTTAAGGAGTAGGATAAAGATCTGTCTGTTTTTTAGCTTCTGAAAGTTAATATTACAGACAGAAAAAAAAACATTTAAAAAGAAAAAAAAGATATAAGAATAAAATGATATTTAAAAATATTCAAAATATTATTTGTTTTAGAATCCAGACTGGAATGAAGACTTTGTGTTTTATACAAGTCCAGAGGATAAATATCTCAATGTTTGTGTCTGGTGTAGGGTACCACCAAAACTTGATAAACATGAAAAAGTAATCAAACCTGGTAGAGAAACTTTGATAGGGCATGTAAGTAATGGAAAATGAAGTTGTAACAGTCAATTCTAAAGGTTTTGAAACTGCTAGTATATCTTTCAAGCTAATAACTTTTGTAATACAATAAAATATATAACAAGTAAGATTTCAGTTTAGAGACTCTGTGACAAATGATAGTGAAAAAATAATTTGCTGAACTTCAAACATGTAATCATTTTAAATCTAGATTTAAGCCTCTTTCCATATCATTTCTATTGAAGACAAGACAAGACAAGACAATATTTTATTTGAGTCTCACCTCTTATAAAACATTTACATAATATTACAACTTCACATATAAAACAAGAGCCACTCTAAAAAGAGTTATGAGAGACTATAAAAATGGTATATACATTTACATATATATACACACACATAAAATGTAAAACATAAAACATAATAAAAAAGTATACATTTTAAGAATATAATAAACATTTTCTTTTCAGTAAAATATCATAACAGATTTTGGCAGTATAAAAGTAAACATTTTCATCACTAAATAAAAATACAAATTTATCGTCATCTGACATACTATTAAAATCATGACAAAAAGAATTAGCATGATAAACAATACAGCACGAAAATCTGCATATAGTGGACATTTCAAAATTACATGTTTCTCATCTTCAATGGTATTGTCATTACATTTAAAACATATTCTTTCATTAATATGTAAGTTCTGATACCGGCCCGTTTCAATTTTTAGGGGCGCAACACCACAGGAAATTTTGCAAAAGCACTTCTATATTTTCCTGCAATAGTTTTACAAATATAATTTTCTACCTTAAATTCTGTTTTAAATAATGTATAGGTACGTAGTTTGGCATATTCATCGAAACCAACTTATTATGCCATTTAGTTTTATATAAATCAATAGCTAAACATTCTATATCCTTAATTACATTTATAGTTAACAATATATCACAATTACAATATGGTTCAAGATTATACTCTTTAAACTTAGTCATTACTCTGAAGCACCAGTTTTTAATTGGGTTATTTCCATACTTATATGACCACATAAATACTCGTTTGTTCAATCTATTATTGTCCATTTTACAAAATCTGGACCATAATCTAAAAACAGCTGTCCATTGCTTTTAATACATTGCATGGAGTCCAGCCCATATCACCATACAGAGATAAGTTTGGTATATATTTTCCTACACCCATAAAAAATCTCATCGCTCTGTTTTTAACTGCATTTATGCAAGAGAATTCTCTTGTTCCCCATATTGAAGCACCATAATCGATGACTGACCATACAAGTGTGTCAAAAAGTTTTGTATAAGTAGAGTAACAAAAACCACCATTTGATTTACATTTTGCGATCAACAACCCAAGAGCTCTACTTGCAGACTTGGCAATAGCTTTTGACATTAAATCATAATTTAAAAATTCTGTAAGATGTAAACCAAGGTAAGTATATTGTAATGCAATTTCAATTTGAATGATAGAAACAAATTAGTTTTTTATTAAATATCATCGAAGAAATAGTTTAATTGATCATCATGTTAATAAGACAAGCTGATAAAAATTTCACAGAGTGTTAGCAAGATTTTACTGTACTTTTGAGAAATTGGTGTAGCTATTTATAGCAAGTTACCTGTGTTGTCACTACATAAATAGACATGCATAAATATGGATATTACTTCGTTTATGAAACAAATAAAGACACAAACTATGGATGGTAGATATTTGTTCAAATAAATAATTAGGAAATTTGATTTATTTAATTAATCAAAGGATTCAAAGGCAGAAAACAAATAGTATTACATAACCAGCTGATCAATTTTTTACTCAAACATCGTGGTGTTGTACCTGAAAAAAATCTAGAAAAAAACACCCTAACCCTTTTCTAAAGCAGTGGTCAGGGCTAGTTACATCTCAGGATTAGGTGAACCCTTTTTTTTGCAGAATATTCAATAAATATACAAATATACTTATACCAAACCTGTCCTAAGTCAGGAATCTGATGTTCAGTAGTTGTCGTTTGTTGATGTGGTTCATAAGTGTTTCTCGTTTCTCGTTTTATATATAGATTAGACCGTTGGTTTTCCCGTTTGAATGGTTTTACACTAGTAATTTTTGGGGCCCTTTATAGCTTACTGTTCGGTGTGAGCCAAGGCTCTGTGTTGAAGACCGTACTTTGACCTATAATGGTTTACTTTTTTAAATTTTGACTTGGATGGAGAGTTGTCTCATTGGCACTCATACCACATCTACTTATATCTATTTATCGTCTAATTTAATATATCGGGTAATGGGATATTTTGCTGACATTTTGTGTATCCGATTTGGCGGAGTCTACTGTATAAAAAGAGAAAAATATATGCCTGCCAAATATGCCCTAGCATATTTATTAAATGTTACCAAACTGATGAAATTATACTTTGTAAAAATCGATTGGTTTATAACAAATAAATTTTATTATCTAAAAATTTTATTTCAGGTAATGGTTAATTTTAATTTAAAATTTCAAACTGAGAAAATTTGAAGCAGTTTTCATTAGTAATCATTCTCCATTTTCCTATCTTTTCATCAACACTTTTTATGTCATGCAATTACTTAATTATGCTTTAACACATTTTTTTAAAATTTTTATTTACCAGTTTGGAAATGCAAAATTATCCAGCTCACTATTAATACCAATTATGAGCTACTATTTTTGGAAAACAATTGAACAAAGTCTGCAAATCACCAATATTAGTATAAAGTGTAAATACAAAAGAGGATTTTTTTTTTACATTTTTACTGTTGTTTTGTCAGTTTTTAAAGTACAAAAAAGAATACACATAGAGAATATTACAACACATATGAGTTTTTATAAGCTATTTTTTCAAAATAATTCAATAATGCATGTAAAAAAAAATTCTTTTTCTACAGATCAGTTTGCCATTAGCAGATATATCTTTAGATTGTTTATTGACAATTCAGAGAGATTCACAAAGATGTGTTAATTTAGTTCCCCCAGAAAATATAGCTGGGGTTAGGTAAGTAAAAAATTTGACTATTACCAAATTCAAAATGTCTGTCACCATGTCATTCTTTAACCAATCAGGATTCATAATCATAGCACATTATTACTTTAAATTCAAGGTAAAGTTGATATTGACCAATAGATTTGTAGACTGAGATGTAAATGAGTGTAAATAAAGATTGAGGTTGCTGTTGGAAGTAGAAAGCTGGATGTTTGCTGAAGTTATTTCCTTTGCAAGATATTGACTTTGCCTTGAAATTTTTATTGGCCAAGGTTACTTTAAAACCATGTCCAATATGACTATATTTATCTCTTATAGTTCATCAGCAATTTTACATGTTAAAAATAATACAAGTAATCTTTGAAACTTTGAAGTTTTACTCTGAAATATCTAATTTTTTTACAGTCGAACAAAGTTCCAGGAATATATGAGCCATCCAGGATTTGATCATAGAATGTGCCATGGTGATATCACCCTTGGGTTTAAGTATGGATCAAGTCAGTCACCAGATACAGAGAGAAGAGTTCCTGAAGTCAAGGTCATCTCAGACAAGGAAAGTTCTGAAGAGTTTGTTTCGTTACCAGATTCACAATTGTTAGGACAAAAAAGCAGGTACTTGATGCTTTCAATTTTCCATTATCATTTAAATGAATTTTCTGAATACATTTCCTGAGACTTCTAGATCAAAGCTATAATTTGACAGGGTTTGACTCAAATAAATAGCTAGGAGATATTGCATATTAAATTTCCTTATGATATGATGCATACTTATGTCGTAATTATCTAAAGGAGAAAAAAGAGACAAAGGAGACAAAAATTAGTTTTATTGGAGATTTTTATGCCCCTACTGGCAAAGGGAAAACAGAATTCTTATACAATTATGTAAAATAAATATATTTCAGATTAGAGATTGGTAAACATGACTTTACAGCTACCCAGTTTACTTCAGCTACTTACTGCCATTTCTGTGGGAAAAAGGTTGGTGTATAGAAAATAAACAAAAGACCTTCAGAAACAAACAAAACAAAGCTCAAACCTGATCAAACAATCAATAAACTCTTGAATAACAGTTAATGCATCTATACAAATATAAGGTTTTTTTGTTTTTTTTTTAAACAAAACTAATGTTACAAAAACTATTATTTAGTGTTTGCATGACTTCATCAGTATTCTATAGCTACAGACTTTTACTTTAATAAGTATGCTTATTATGCATTATGCTGCCACACAAAAAAAAACATGGCCACTATGGCTAAAAGTAGAACACAGGAGTAAAATACAAAATAATCGCCTTTTATTAAAACATATTTTGACATTAAGAATGTCTTTGGGGTTTAAAATCAAAGATGAACATTATCATGAAATTAATTGCTTACTAAAAGTAAAAGATTTTCCATACACAAATGTTTCTGAAAATACATGTAGGAAAAAGAATGTTAAGATGTATGCTCTATTTAAATCATAATGTAAACATGGGTTATTTTACAGAAAAATACATGTCAACACTGAAGGAAAGTGGTATTAGAAGGAATATTTACTTGTATTTAGATTTATATGATGTATCTGTCTTGTTGTCTTTGGTTCTATTATTATTGTTTATTTCTTTTATTATTATTTTTTTTTACATTTTACTTCTACTTCTTGTGTTAAGTATTTAACTAACATGTATAATACATATATTTATATATTTTGGTTGCTAGCTTATAATAATGTTACAACAAAAAATCTGGTTGATGTATATAATAAAGGCACAATAAAAATCTGGTTGATTTTATATAGTAAAGACACAACAAAAAATTTGATTAATTGCATATAATAAAGGCACAACAAAAATCTGGTTGATTGTATATAATAAAAGCACAACAAAAATCTGGTTGATAGTATATATAATAGACACAACAAAAATCTGGTTGATTGTATATAATAAAAGCACAACAAAAATCTGGTTGATTGAAATCTGGTTGATTGTTTGTAATAAATGCACAACAAAATATCTTCAACAGCCAATTATATGAATATAAAGTAAGTAAAACATGATATATACTCTTCTTTTTACCCTATACATTTAGATAATGCTTCCAATACGATTCTAGTCCATAATTGAAATCTGTTTACAGGAAAAATGTGGATCTATTTTTATCAACCAAAAACTCAATTTTGGATAAGCAATGAAATCCAGACAATCTTAAATTGGATTTAGAACACCATATGATATAAATATAACAAGCATTTTTATAATAGAATAGCAAAAAAAAATAATGACATATTGTGGCGAAAATATTTTCTATTTCTTATTTTTCAAAATTTTGAATCTGAAAAAAACCCAAATAGTAGCAGTTGAAGACATTGGGCACAGACTTTGCCATGCACTCTCATTATTTAAAGCAAGACTCATTTATTTTGCTTATAATTTTAATGTTTGTGATAAAATATTATTTCTATATTTTCAGATATGGTTAAAAGATGCCTTCCTTTGTTGTATGTGTTCAATGATTTGTCATAAGAAATGTGTTGTCAGATGTCAGACACAGACACTCTGTACAAAGTATGTTAAAAACATGTCACAAATTATAATATTTTGCAGTCACCTGTTTATTCAACAAATATTTTTATCACACTTTTCTCAGAAACTACTAACTTTATTGACTTCTTGATTGGTTAGCAGCTCAGCAGAAATGAGTTGTAATGTGTGTGAGCTTTTTAGATCTGTTTTCCGATACTTTGAATTATGAGCTTTTTTTTAGCGAGACAAAGTGTGCATTCTTGTTTTTATGGCTTTTTTATTTACTGCAAGTAGATCCAAAGTTACAATTATGATAATAACTATTTGTTTGAAAATTTGTGTTACTTGTTTACTCAGTTTTGAAAAAAAGTAGAATTAAAAAATGTTTATGTTTACCGATTTAGGAACAAAGTGGTAGATATTAATTAAGTTTGGGCAAATTTCAAGTGTCAAAAGAAAAATTTTCCATGAAGTCCTGTTTTAACCTAACAGTTTGCTATTTTGTTGTTAAAATTGGAAATTATTTCATATTTTCAAATTCCTGAATGATTCTGAAGTCCTTGATACAGATTTTGATTGATTTATTTTGGACAATACTTAGCTGCAAATCTGTACATTTTTCAAATGTTATTAAATGACAAGATATGTGATCAACTAAGATAGATTACCAATGCCTCCACTTAAAGTAAACAAATTCTTAAAAAAGATTAAGCATAATGTAGAAATGAATAAATTTTGAAAATCTGAGAAAGACTAATGTACATGTATAAATCATATTTTGACTATGGAACACATAAAACTTCAAAGGGTAGTACACTTTGTCCATTTGGCTATGGGGGTAAGGCATTGTTCTAATGGATTTGATTAAATATTTTACTATTTCTATAAGATTACACAAATAAAATTACATAGCTTATTGGACAAGTTATTTAATTTGCCTGATTCTGTATGTTAATCTTCAAACTTAGGGCTAGCAGGAGGCTGCTGACTTTTACCATTGCCTTTTTTGAATAAGAGTGTATTGTTTTCATATTTAGCAAACAGAATTATGTTATCAAACCAGAAATATTTACTGAAATTTTCTTGTTACAGGGATGGTGCTATGATGAGGTCTAATCCTCAAGACAAATGGAAAGCTCCAATACCAGAATCTAGAAGAAGACAAAGCCATAAATCTGGAGCTGTTGGAATTCTGAGTAAATTCAGAAAAGATCCTAATGTAGAAAATAAAATAGGTTTGTCATACAGAATAACATTTACTTTCTTTAATTTATTAGTGGTGACAGAATAGATTGATGAATATGTGTTCAGCACAAGTAATGTATTTGTATTCACCACAAGTATAAAAATGATAAGATGTGGTATGATTGCCGATAAAACAAACCTCGACCAGAGACGAAATGATGTAAAACTTTTTAACTATAGGTCACGGTAAGGCCTTCCACAACAAAACTAGAGGATCCAAAAAGGTCTAAGTTTAAAGGCCATACCTTCTCGCAATCTCATGAAGTGATTTACTTCAGATTGCATGGAAGAGACAGTAAAAATAGCATCAACAATCTATTTAGTGTCCAAAAATGAGATCTGATGAAAGTTCCAAACAATTTTAATGTTCTATTTTTATTTAAGATTATATGTTTTTTATACAGGATACTATAAAATGCAAAAACAGGTGAGATTAGTGCAGATGAAAAGTCTCTCTAGCCTCCTATCACCAAAAACTAAAAAAAGCACTTGACATTTGCATCAATGGTGTATCATTGTTCATTTCTCAAAATGGTACATTGACTGTCACTGCCAGTAGGAGATGCTTTAAATAAAAAACTCTACTGCAGCCTGCACCGTTTGCCACTAGTCCGATGCCCCAGACTAGTTAAATTTTATTCAGACTAGTAAATTTTGCAAAGCTTTCTTCAGACACATAAGGAAAATGTCTAAATATTTGTCTTCGGACTAGTAGTTGGAAAAGATTTTCGTGCAGACTGCTACTGTCAGAGTATAGTCAAACTATTGATAAAGGCACTGTTCACAAAAAAAATGTTTACCTTCAAAGATTAAGCTGTCCTATGTTCATTTGTTAATTGAATTAATTTTAAATCTATTGACAAACAGATGCATGCTTTGCTTACAAAGATCTTGACAACAATCAGTTCTACTTTCTGTTTTACAGACCTTTCGAGATCCATTCTTTTCAGAAGAGAAATTAGAAAGGAGTGTTGTCAGATTCTTGTAAGGAAAGCATATACACAGAATCTGTATTTCAGTCAGATTGATGAATTTTGATAATATAATTGCACTCTTCCTATAGCTTAATGCATCTTAAAAATTGTAGAAATCACACAGCCTGCACCTTCCCCACAGCCTTCACCAAAACCATCCCCTCAGCCAAGTCCAACGTTTATCCGCAGAAGGAACTCTGCCCCGGGCACAGATGATGTCAAATGTGGGAGCTTCCTTGATATCACGAACATTCCACAGACACGTTCCTCTACATCAATCCAGGCATTGCTTAATACTGGTGTCCTGCCTAGAAGGTTATCAGAAGAATTGTTTGGGGTAATTTTAATTGAATGTTAATGTCAACTTTACTTTTGATACAATTCAGAATGTGAGGCAGGCCATAATCTTGCCGGCGAAATGACGATTTAAGTCGCCAAATAATTTTGAAAATCGCTAAATCTCGCCAGCCGACTGACTTCATAGCGAAGTCAAATCGCTATCAAATTCGGTAAAAGGGAGACAACTTGTGATTGACAAGTCTCACAGGTAAAAAAATGGCGGCTGACAAGGAAAATCGAGATTTTCGAAACGACCCAGGACTTATACTGTCAACGATCAAATTAAATAAATACAAAGGCGACTTTGAACATCCTCGGATATAACTTTCAAAACTGTTCAAACGGAGAACTGACCGTATGTTTAAGTTATCATTTTACGATGATTTTCATCTGAGGATGTTGCGTAATCACTCAGCTGATTTGTTTTATTTTTATTACTTACACGAGTCGAGTCGATCAATTTTACTATTCGGTAGGTTAAAGGTGGGAATTAACGGTAGATTTATTATATTCATTGAATAAAAATTGAAACATAAAAGGTAGAAAGACAGCTGATGGATAATGTGATTGCAAACGTACGACACTCGACCAGATTGTGATCAGCAGTGGATTTTTTCTCATGACCACTTCGTTGATATGGATGATATTTCAAAAAAATTATAGAAATTAGCTCTTTATCGGATAATTAATATGCGATTGAATAATATTTTCATTCATAGACTTACAATCTTTAACGATAATCTCAATTTACAACTAACACAATGTCCTGGACATTCAATAATGATTTACAAAATAATGACAAGTGGTGATGTAAATTAAATTCCCAGTCATGTGAAATTCATCTGGTAAACTGGGAATCATATTTTTCTGGAGTTTTAAAAATAAATTGAGGCAGATGCACATGAATTTAATGCATCAAAATCATGATAATATTACTAGGCTACTCCCTCATGTCCCAATCAACAAATTTTATTTAGAACAGTTCAACACAATGGTATCAATAAATAAATAACAACTATAAATTGTCTAAACCTTTTTATTAAGAACTTTCTATATATACATGGTGTACAATAACATATGAAAAAACTACAAGTATATCTTTTATTGAAGTTAAAACAATTTCCTTAGTGATAATCATGAAAACACGATGCACCCGAAACGGTAATGGAATCTCACTTCTCCAAGAAATTGACCACTTCTCCCTTCTCTCTCATGGAAGGAGAAGTCACTTCTCCCTCTTCAAAATCCTAGATTAGGCCCTGATGTGAGGCACTCTTTAGTTATAATTTATCTCTCTTGTTGATGATGATTGCACTTTTTTATTGACTATCCTGTTATGGTTAAAACATTAAATATTGTGTACTTTATAATTATGTAAAATGAACTTACTGTGAGTAGAAAAAAGATAGAAAAGAACTCATTTTATTATTGAAAATGTTTTTCACTGTATATATATTACTTTTGAAATCTGACATTTATACCTAATTATACAATTTATTGATTAAATGTAAAATTATATGGTGACTCTATTTGAAACAACATGTTTGGTTTATTAATTCTTCACACAAAAACCCTACACACAATTAAAAATAGCTTTATATAATTATAGAGTAAGTACAGAGGTGATTCGTCAGAAGATTCAGATTCAGAATCCAGTTTGTTACAGTTGAGTAAACAAAGGGCTAAAGGTCAAAACCTTGATGAGATGGTTGTGACAGCTGCCAAAGAAATGGGAAAAGAATTGTATGCTGAGCTCTCATTGGAAGAGAGGAAAGAAAAACTTGATACCATGGTAATTGTTTTGTTTATTTGCTGTGTCTTTTTCATTAAGAAGTATATAAAATTTTATTCAACGGTGGAAAATAGGGTTATTAATCATATATATAATAGCTTATTATACATGTAAGGTATGATAAAAAAAGATGAATATACTGTAAACACATTTTTTTGGGGCAAAAAAAAACTAGAGGCTCTAAAGAGCCTGTGTCGCTCACCTTGGTCTATGTGCATATTAAACAAAGGACACAGATGGATTCATGACAAAATTGTGTTTTGGTGATGGTGATGTGTTTGTAGATCTTACTTTACTGAACATTCTTGCTGCTTACAATTATCTCTATCTATAATGAACTTGGCTCAGTAGTTATAGTGGAAAATCAAAATTTACAAAAATTTACAAAATTTATGAAAATTGTAAAAAATTGACTATAAAGGGCAATAACTCCTTAAGGCGTCAATTGACAATTTTGGTCATGTTGACTTATTTTATTTGTAGATCTTACTTTGCTGTACATTACTGCTGTTTACAGTTTATCTCTATCTATAATAATATTCAAGATAATAACCAAAAGCTGCAAAATTTTCTTAAAATTACCAATTCAGGGGCAGCAACCCAACAATGTGTTGCCTGATTGGTCTGAAAATTTCAGGGCAGATAGATCTTGAACTTATGAACAATTAGCCCATGTCAGATTTGCTTTAAATGCTTTGGTTTCAGAGATATGAGCCAAAAACTGCATTTTACCCTATGTACTATTTTTTAGCCATGTCGGCCATCTTGGTTCACGGGCGGGGTCATCGGACACATTTTTTAAACTTGATACCCTAATGATGATTGTGGACAAGTTTGGTTAAATTTGTCATAGTAGTTTCAGAGGAGAAGATTTTTGTAAAAGTTAACGGACGACGGACGCCAAGTGATGAGAAAAGCTCACTTGGCCCTTTGGGCCAGGTGAGCTAAAAAGAGGCTCATAAAAAATTTTTAAGTCATTATTTGACCTCCATTTAAGGTTAGGTAACAACTCATAATATTATTTGACCTGATAGAAAGATTAGGGGAATATGATAGTTTTTTTCTTTCAATTTTATGTTAAACATCCCTATTTACATGAATAACTGTATTAATTCCATACATTTTTTTTGGTATTTCTTCAGGTTTCCAAGCTGCAGAAAGAAATAGATATTGAATCTGAAAATAAAACAGAAATGATCAAAGAGGAGATGGAGTCAGTAGATTCAAGTCAGAAAGAGGCTTTACAGCTAAAAATATCTAAATCTGATGAGAAAGTTGAAGCCTTGATGATGATGATGCTGCACTACTGTGCTGGTCTTCAATATTGTTTGGAGGAGGAAGAAGAAGAACGAAGGAAAGGTAAAGAAAAAGATCAGATGGCAATGTTAGAACAAACAATGGAGGTACAAAAGCTTACAGAACAAATTCACAAAGACGCAGAACAAAGCACATCTGAAAGCAGAGTGTTTGATTGTATTGAAAGTTCTAGTAGTGACTCAACATTTGACAATATACGATCTGATATTATATCTAGTTCTCTTGATGAGGGAAGTTGTGATATTAATACTGCTGTAAAAGATGGAACAACAAAGGAGTTGGACAATGGGTGTATACCTGAAGAAGAAAACCTTGAAGTAGAATCCACATTTTAATTAAGGCCTTTTTTATTGCTAACATACTTGTTGTATTCCTCTATTTTACAGTAATTGTTGTTGTATCCATAAAGTTTTTTTTTTAATTTTTTGTTAAATGCATTTTTGATTGTATGATTATATGCTTCCGATGTTTTATTGTAAGTTAAGGATGAAGAATATGTATGTACATATATGAACAAATTATTTTTTATTTATTTTAGATATATAGTTTAAGTTTAAATTTTGATTAGACTTGAGTCTTTGATATAATTTATTTTTGTATAATCCTATCCTGTAAATTATGATATTTTGTTATTGGCATAGATACAAGTAGAAAAATAGGCATACATAATTCTTGTTTGATACTTGTGGTGCACAAATGACTTAACAGCATGAGATTTAACAAAAGGTCAGCTTGATATTATTCAATACAGTTGGAGGATATTTTTATTACCTGAAAAATTTTCTGTCGTATTTTGTGAAAAAAAAATATTTTGAAAATAATAATGAATGATCTCATTTAGTGTTATTTCATTTATTATAAAAACAAGCTGTGAATTGCTATATAACCCATAAATAATAAATATAATTATGAAGAATATGTAAAATAAAAAGTAAAAATTCCAAGTTCGCTGCATTCGAAACTATACGATTAGATGGTAAAATCGAATAGTAAATGTTTTTAAGTACAAACATGAAAGACATATCAAATAAAGATAATAGCTGTACAGGTATTAAAGTAGTTTGGGTGTCAGAATTCAAAACGATGTATATTTTTTTTAATTTGGCAAATTATAGTTAATGTCATGTTTTTTTTTTTTGAAAAATCAAATAAAAAGTTTGGGTCGGAGAACTTCTTTTGCAAGATACAGGTTGTGCAAAATTGTCTGATTTTGAATAGATTAACCATGGAAAAAAAAACGATTTTGTGTGTTAGAAAGATAATTAAACAATAGAATTTTAAGATAATATATGAAAAGATAGCTCTTATGATGTGCTTTTAGAAAACAAAGAGATTAAATGGGGTCATGGGATAAATGTGTTCTTTCTACAAAACAAAACAGGAAGATTCACTACACATTCCTTTATAAAAGTTAGATATTCTAAATAATCTTTCCTTATATGGCTAAGTTGAAGAAAAAAATGAATCAACTAAAAGTATATTAGTTTAAAAGGGTTGATTTAAGGTTGTTTACCATGAAGTTGTATCTCTTATGAACCCTTTCACCTGATATACTTTTAGTTGATTCATTTTTTTTCTTCAACTTAGCTAGAAATATATAAACAATCTTTGTTTGACACATGCTTATCATTAATCCTACTTTTAGTGTCCATGTTTAGTAAGTACTAAGTTTCAAGTTGATGAGACCACAACTTCTTGGTGTACTACCTTATACCTAAACTTTAACCTGAAACATTTCTGTGTTCAGTGAATGGCAAAATCTGGTTCAAAGCCTTATTTGGCATATACTTTAAAAAGTGCACATCATAATGAACACTTAGTTTAAGGTTTTGAACTTTATTTTTGACAAAATGGACATTTTCCTCATGTTTACAGTGTAATTCATGAGTTGTAGGATTTGTGAGTATCAGCTCTCTTTCTGGTTTATTTCCCAACATGTACTTCTAGTGATTTTTTTTTTTTATATATATTTCTTAAAATAAAAAGTTGAGGTATGATTACCAATGAGTCAACTCTCCACAAGAGACCAAATGACACAGAAATCAACAACTGTAGGTCACTGTACGGCCTTTAACAATGAGCAAAGCCCATACCGCATAGTCAGCTATAAAAGGCCCCGAAATGACATATGTAAAACAATTCAAACGAGAAAATAACGGCCTAATTTATGTAAAAAATTATGAACGAAAAACAAATATGTTACACAGCAACAAACGACAACCACTGAATTACAGCCTTCTGACTTGTATGTACAAGTAAGTACCTAATACTGTGCAATGAGTACAGAGCAGTTCAGAATGTAGTATTTCTGTATTTATGCTAAAAAAAAGCTGTTATCGTGTCCTTTTACAGAAAGCAATAAATGTTCTTAAATTTCATAATACATATAGAATACTTCCAGACTGCAATTTTAGTAGAAAAATATCTATATTTTATAAAGGATTACTTGCAGGGAAAACACACATGGGAGATAATCGGCAAACATTTTAGGGCAGAAACTTACATTTTAAAGTACTTATTATGAGAATCTATGTGAAATAATTACCTCAGATAGTTTTAATACTTACATATATATATATATATATTGTCACTTTGTTCATTTGCTGTCACTCCATTCCAATATACCACATACAGATTTCATATACAAGATAATAAGACATTCCATTATGAAATATGTAATTATAGCACCTTTAACATGTCTTAAGATAATTCATGACTTATATCCAGTTGTACGTCAATATTGATGATAATTTGTATAATTACACCCCACTCTAGAAGTGAGCCAATATTGCATTCACCGTATCCATCTGTTGGTTTGTCCAACAAATATTTCCATCAATTTTTTTCTCAGATACTCTTGAACAGAATGACGTTATATTTGATCAACATCTTGGCAGTGATGAGTTGTAACATGTGGGCACTCTTCAGATCTGTCAGAAACCATTTCCGGTTTAAAGTTGCTTAGATTATTTCAATATATTGAATGAACTTAAAAGTTTTCATCGCACATATATTCAATACTACAGAACAGAATGACATCTTATTTGGTCAAGAGCGCAGTAGTGATGAATTGTAATGTGCATGCTCATTTTAGAACTGTCAGACACCTAATTCCTGTTTTCCAATACTTTTGAAACACAAGTGGGGGTATGCTTAGCTTAAGTATATTCTTCTTGTACTTGACTTTAAGTCTAACCAAGGATTGAAAGTTATATATTTGTTGTAAACTGATTAATCTTTTGTGTATGGTATTTTGTAGTATGGGTGAGGGAGCAGTTATTTACATAATTATGTTGTAAAAGGATTATGAGAATTTATTCTATATAAATTTTTTGATTTGCATAATGTGTAAAAAAAAAATACTCATACACATGTGTTTGAAAAAACTGTTCAAATGAATTATGTTTCAAGTTTTTGATTTAAACCTTTAATGGAGGAATATGATGCCACTTTTATTGCCACTTGAATTCAAAAAGTATTATAAATTGATCAATTAGAAAATTTCAGATGTTCATAAGACATAAGACAGTATTCATATTTTGAATTTAGTTTAACATATCGGGGTTACAGCCTCAAACTTCATATATTTAGTGCAAAACTGCAAAAACTGCAAAAATAGTCTCATTTTGAGATCTTATCTTTAAAATTTATATATGAAACAAGGCTTTACCATGAAAAAGATATTTTGCCACAAGATGTATTTTACAATGATATTAATGTGTCTAAAATATCTTTTAAGGTTATTTCTTGGCTCATATCTACATTGTGTATTTTAAGGTTATTTCTTGGCTCATATTTACATTGTGTATTTTGTTTCAAAACTATGCTTAAAAGGGCAATTCAATATTTAGGATCAAATACCTTTCATTTGTCAGTTATTGTATTTATAGCACATATGTTTGTTTTTTAAACCCCCTTTTGATGAACATGATTTACTGTAGCTTATTAAACATTAGATTTGTTTGCATATCATCAGTACCAGAAATTGGACCCTTTTGGGGGAATATCACATGACAATGCAGGGTTTTCCCTTGGGTCAATTTTCCTTTTCGCCACCCTTTTCGCCAAAACAATAGTTTTTTCGCCACTTTTTCATTATTTTTGGCCAATTTATTTTCCTTGCAAACAAACTAAGTTTCAATTTGCAAATTTGTCGTCTCATGTACATCTGGAATTGATTATAACAAACATGTAATATTAAGTCCCAGGGTACGTTTAACCCACATATTTATATTTCATAAATCAGAATGGATTTTGGAATGCCAATAATTATATTTGTACCCAAAACATTAGCAGGTCAAGATTTGTCTTAAAACAGTTTATCAGACACATCCAGTCTAAATGAAGGGATCTGAATAAAATCAAAGAGTTTTCTTAAATATGCATGTTCTACTTTAAAAAAAAACAACCATCTTTTCCTGTCTATCGGTTAAAGTCAAACATAAAATTAGGTTTAAACTTGGAGTGCCAAAACAATTGTGAAGTACACTCTTCAAAAGGATTTTTATACACCACACAATAAAAATTTGCATAGGGTATAATGTTTTTGACTAGTCCGTCTGTCAGTCTTGTTCTTGTCATCGAAACTCATATGAAACCACACTACAGAATTTCATGAAACTTTGTAAATAATATAAGGACATATTATGTAGATGTGCATATAGACATAAAATTTGCTTGCTCACATATGTTCTTTCATGTTTATAAAAGTTGTACAACTCATTTAAGTGACATGTGAAGCCATTGACAATGCAGTTTTATTAAACCATACAATTATCACCTTTTTTTGATTTGTTGAATGCTGATAGCCATCAAATGCTTGTACCTTTTTACAATCAGCTGATTACTGATTTTCTGTCAAAATCAAAACGCAGGTCAGAGTATTGTCTGATAAGGGAAAAAGTCATAGAAGCTCATGAAAATGGAATGATGTTGACTGTTATACAATGTAATTCTTTTGTAGAAAAAAAATCCTGAAAAATTTAGCATACAGTATCAATTTTTTGTTTTCCTGATCTTATATGTGATATCCATTTTTAGTAGACCTGGTAGAAAAATTTGTAATATTTATAAAAGCACAATTCAAGTAAATATTACTCCATCACATGTTCACCAAAACATATTTAAACATACTTAGTATAAAAATTTTGCTTATTTATAAAATGTTATCATATATGATTGTTTTCATACAAGAATAAGTTGTCTCTTTAATTTATTATATGTACATCATTCTGCATCTCTCTTGGTTTTTCTAGTGATACTCTAATCCCATGAGTCTTTGCCATGTGCAAATATTCACTTGCTAATCTTGCTTAATAATTGTCGCATTGCCAATCCATCCATACCTATATATTCCTTATATAACTCATAATTTAGAAAGTAAATTAATTCAGGACATGGTACTTTCTGCCCTCAAGAAAATTTTAATTTTAATTTAGTGCAGCCCTTATTTGTTTATTGAGGGGAAAATTATAACACATTGTTTGCAGATATCTGAATGCAAAGGAAAAGTTTGTATACAAAAGACTTGTCACAAAATGTTAAAGCCTGCTAAATGTCATTCTTAATATTTCATTCAGGTTTAGATATATGGTACCATAATTACCTGGAATCAGTAATGGCAACAAAAGGGAAGTAATTCATACAATACATTTCAAGAAATATATGTTTAAAAAAAAAATTATAAGAAGTTAGTAATTTAGCATATTACCATTTATAACAAAAAAATGTAAAATATGAGAGGGTCTGGTTGGGAGTCTTCATTTCTGTAGGCCATTTTCTCCATTCTTTATTTTGTCCATTATTCTCTATTCTTTATATTTATTGCGAAAGAAAT